TGGACCCCGCGGAACCTTCAATTGTCTTGTTCACTTGACAAGCCCTTCGATCTATATACTTGGATGTCTTCTGACACACATATTCGTTCTAGTGGAGCGTGAGCGCAAGAAGGCCGAGAAGGCAAAGAAATTCGCCGAAAAGAAGGCCAAGGCTGCCAGCCAGCCCGCCGCCGAGCCCAAGCCCAAGGCTGAGAAGAAGCCCAAGGTCGAGAAAGAGAAGACCACCGACGCATACGACCCCAAGGTTATCGAGGCTGGTCGTCTCGAGTGGTGGGAGGAGCGCGATCTCTTCAAGCCCGAGTTTGGCTCCGACGGCAAGGTCAAGCCCGAGGGTTCCTTCGTCATTCCTATTCCTCCCCCCCAACGTCACCGGTTCCCTACACATGGGCCATGCCCTCACCAACGCCCTGCAAGACACAATGATCCGCTGGCAGCGTATGAAGGGTAAGACTACCCTCTGGCTGCCCGGTATGGACCACGCCGGTATCTCTACTCAGAGCGTTGTCGAGAAGATGCTGTGGAAGAACGAGAAGAAGACCCGTCACGACATTGGACGCCCCGCCATGACGAAATTGATCTGGGACTGGAAGGATATGTACCACGCCAACATCAAGAATGCCCTGCGCAGAGTTGGTGGTTCTTTTGATTGGTCTCGCGAGGCCTTCACCATGGACGCTAACCTGTCGGCTGCTGTCACTGAGACCTTCGTTCGTCTTCACGAGGAGGGCATCATCTACCGTGCCAACCGTCTTGTTAACTGGTGTGTTGCTCTGAACACTTCTCTGTCTAACCTCGAGGTTGAAAACAAGGAAATTGAGGGCCGTACTCTCCTCGATGTGCCCGGCTACGACAAGAAGGTCGAGTTCGGTGTCCTGACCCACTTCTGCTATGAGATTGATGGCACCAAGGAGCGCATCGAGATTGCTACCACCCGTCCCGAGACCATGGTCGGTGACACTGGTATTGCTGTCCACCCCACCGACGTGCGTTATAAGCACTTGATCGGCCAGCACGCTCGCCACCCCTTCGTTGACCGTCTTCTCCCCATTGTGGCCGATGAGGCTGTCGACCCCGCGTTCGGTACTGGTGCCGTCAAGATCACTCCCGCTCACGATTTCAACGATTTCACTCGTGGAAAGGCCCACAACCTAGAGTTCATCTCCGTGATGAACGACGATGGTACCTTCAACAAACACGCCGGGTCCTTCGCTGGCCTTAAGCGCTTCGATGCCCGTTACAAGGTCATTGATGCCCTCAAGGAAAAGGGCCTGTACGTCAAGTGGGAGCACAACCCCATGAAGGTTCCCCGATGCGCCAAGTCCAACGACGTTATCGAGCCCATCCTCAAGCCCCAGTGGTGGATGAAGATGGAGAGCCTTGCTGGTCCCGCCATCAAGGCCGTTGAGAACGGCGATATCATCATTCGCCCCGAGAGTGCTGAGAAGAGCTACTTCCGCTGGATGCACAACATCAATGACTGGTGTCTCTCCCGTCAGCTCTGGTGGGGCCACCAGGCTCCCGCCTACTTCGTCAAGATCGATGGCGAGGACAACTCTGATAGCGATGGTGACTTCTGGGTGACCGGCCGCACCGAAGAGGATGCTCGCGTCAAGGCTGAGGCCAAGTTCCCTGGCAAGACCTTCACTCTTGTTCAGGATCCCGATGTTCTTGACACCTGGTTCTCTTCCGGCCTTTGGCCTTTCTCCACCCTGGGATGGCCCCAGAAGACCCATGATTTCGAGAACCTGTACCCCACCTCTGTCCTGGAGACTGGCTGGGATATTCTCTTCTTCTGGGTTGCCCGTATGATCATGCTTGGTATCAAGCTGACTGGACAGGTTCCCTTCAAGGAGGTGTACTGCCACTCTTTGATCCGTGATTCTGAGGGCCGTAAGATGTCCAAGTCCCTGGGCAATGTTGTCGATCCTCTCGATGTCATGGAGGGTATTCCCCTGCAGACTCTCCACGACAAGCTCCTCCTTGGTAACCTGGCCGATAAGGAGGTTGCCGCTGCTACCAAGTACCAGAAGAAGGCGTTCCCCAAGGGTATCCCCAGTGCGGTGCTGACGCCCTCCGTTTTGCCCTTGTCTCCTATACCACCGGTGGTATGTAATTCTCATTCCATTCCTACCATAAAATGATGCTAACAATTTCCAACAGGTGGTGATATTGCATTCGATATCCAGGTCATTCACGGATACCGTCGCTTCTGTAACAAGATTTACCAGGCTACCAAGTTCGTTCTTGGCAAGCTGGGCGAAGACTTCAAGCCCCAAGCCACTGCAACCAAGACTGGCAAGGAGTCCCTGTCGGAGCGCTGGATTCTGCACAAGCTCAACGCTGCTGCTAAGGAGGTGAACGAATCCCTCGAGGCCCGTGAGTTCTCCAGCGTCGCCATCACCACCTACCAATACTGGTACGGCCAGTTGTGCGATGTTTTCATCGAGAACTCCAAGTTCCTCTTGGCCGAGGATGCTTCCCCTGAGAGCCGGGAGTCTGCCAAGCAGACCTTGTACACTGCTCTCGATGGCGCCCTGACTCTGATTCACCCCATCATGCCTTTTGTCACCGAGCACCTGTGGCAGCGTCTCCCCCGTCGCCCCGAGGACAAGACTGTCTCTATCATGACTGCCAAGTTCCCCGAGTTCAAGGAGGAATTCCACGACCCTGCCGCGGAGACCGCCTACGAGCTTGTCCTGAACACCTCCAAGGCCATCCGTTCCATTCTGGCTCAGTACGATGTCAAGACCAAGGGCGATATTGTCATCCAAACCTACGATGCCACCAGCGAGAAGACCATCGCCGAGCAGATGACTAGCATTCAGTCTCTGGGTGGCAAGACCCTGGGCGAGCTGTCCCATCTGGGTCCCGACAACAAAACCCCTCCCGCGGGATGTGTCGTGGCCGCTGTCGGTGCTGAGGCCGCCGTCTACCTCCGTGTTTCCAAGGAGGTTGCCCTTGAGCAGGAGGAGAAGGCCAAGGCTGGTCTTGAAAAGGCACAGGAGGCTGTTCGCCGGTCACAAGGCATCATGGGAGGCCCCAACTGGAAGGAGAAGGTCAAGCCCGAGGTTCGTGCCGCTGAGGAAAAGCGTCTTCGCGATGCTGAGAGCGAGGCTGCTCGCCTGGAGGAGCAGATTAAGGAATTCGAGAAGCTCCGTCTGGAGTAAGATACGGGCGGATTGTACCCGAATAGCAATATAAATAAAACGCAAAATGCAATCTTTCTCTTGTTTGAACATTTTGGCCATGCAAAATATCATCTAACAGTTGTCCATAATACACTAAAATGTGCGAAATTGAAAGTTTGATAGAATTGTGTCTGCCTCAGGCCGCAATTGCCCCGGTCGGGCTTATCGATAAGCGGTGCCAAGACCTCCCAGGCCCAAAAGTTTTCTGCGTTTTTTACTCCGAGTCTCCTCAAGAAAACCAACCCCCACCATCACAATGTTGCGCGAAGTGTGAGTAACAGCCCATTAGCATTTGCATATTCTTAATCTGACATCTTCCCTGCAGTAAAGCCAAGAACCCGCGCACAGCGCGCATTCTCAAGGCGCGAGAGCCGCAACTCATCGAGCCCCCCAAGAAGACGCTAATTCTCCATGGCACAAAATGCCCCCAGGCACTGGACACCGTGCTGAAGACCTTCCACTCCCTCACAAAGCCTCACTCCGTCCTGTTCCACAAGAAGAATGAAAACATTCACCCATTCGAGAACCTCGAGAGCATGGAGTTTCTGGCCAACAAGAACGAGTGCCCTCTCGTCGTGTTCGGCAGCAGCAACAAGAAGCGTCCTAACTGCGTGACCCTCGCCCGAATTTTCAACTCACAACTTCTCGACATGTGCGAGCTTCTTCTCCTGCCTTCCAAGGGTGATAACGATATTCCTCCCATCAACGAGCTCACCATGCACGTCGGCCTGGGCCTGCGACCTATGATGCTTTTCGCCGGAACCCCGTTCGAAGACCCAACTTCTTCATCTCACGCCATGCTCAAGACTTTCTTCCTCGACATGTTCAAGGGCGAGGAGACAAGTGCTATTGATGTCGAGGGTCTGCAGTACGTTCTGATGGTCGGTGCCGAGGAGCCCCGTGACGACCTCGCTCCTGTTGTTCACTTGCGCTGGTACAAGGTTATCACAAAGCGCAGTGGCCACAAACTTCCTCGCGTGGAATTGCAGGAGATTGGTCCCAAGTTCGACTTCAAGATTGGCCGTATGCGCGCCGCTTCCGCCGATGTTATGAAGACCGCCATGAAGCAGGGCAAGCGACCCAACGTCGATATGAAGACGAAGAAGAACATCATCGTGGACACGATCGGTGACAAGGTCGGTCGTGTGCACCTGGGCAAGCAGGATCTTTCGGGCCTGCAGACACGTAAGATGAAGGGTCTGAAGCGTCGCGCTGGTGTGGAGTCGGATGATGATGAGGAAGGCGAGGATGAGGATATGATGTCGGTGGATGAAATCTCGGATGATGAGGAGAGCCACAAGCGGGCCCGTACTCAGTAAGAAAGAGTTGGATCTACTTGCATTGTTGCGTATCTATTTTCAACGGCGTTTGGACCGGCTCCTGGGGTTTTGTGCTTTTGAGGCCTGTCTGCAGTGTATGTCATGTAAGGCATGGAAAAGTATAGAAGCGCTGCTTCCCAAACTGTTTATCTAAGAAATGTCAATAACTATTACCAGACCTACTAGACTACTAGTTAGTAACTACTAACTACTGTAGCTCTATCCAACTGAGTACTAATAATGTAGTTGTTGGCAGCCACTCATAGTAGTAGTCCACGTGACCCTGACGTAGCTCGGCAGGTCTCACATGCCTCGGTCCTTTCTCCAGACGGTTCCGACTCAAACTGCCGTTCCCCTCCCCCATTCCAGGACTCTCGACTTCTTTTCACTTCTCCTATTGAACTTCATCGACTTTCTGACTATCTACCGTGGTGTTATCCCCTAATAGACATCTCTGTTCGACAACGACCTCCAACCGAGGTCCCGCAGCGCTATGGATGCGCTTTTGGTGAGCAATTCCGCAAAGCGCAGCCACATGCAAATGACAAGCCAGAGAAGCATCGTTAACACAAATTACACCACAGTCCCGCCTAGATGAACTCGTCCTGAAACCCGAATTCCAACCTCTTCTGTCGCTCTTAAAAGGCGCGCGCAATGGTGTCGTCTACGGATCGAAAGTGCGGTTTCCGCATGCTCTGGTGTACGTCGGTTCCGCGGAAAGCAACTACAGACAACTGGATCTGAGACTGACCGGGGTTATACCTTATATCTAGCATGATATTGCTCTTTAGATCAGGATCGTACGTGTTGACACATTCCTCCTTATTCCCGCCTTCTTATATCCCCGTGTTTCGTCCTATCGCATTCCGATTTCCCTCGGGCTAACCAAGCCGAACCGCTATAGATTCCGACAAAAGATCAAGCTAGTCTTGAATGCCACACGCCTACATGCGCGAAACCTCGCCACATTCGCAATCATCTATAAATTTTCCATGATTGTCTTGCGAAACCTCGACACCTCCGGTGCCGCGAAAGAAGGCCGCTACGATAGCTTCTTTGCCGGATTAATGGGTGGATATGCGGTCTTTGGCCGACAACGGGGGAGTATCAGCCAGCAGGTAAGAACCTCGGTCCTTCTCGGTGCATCGCTCTACCAAGACTCGTCCTGGGAACTACATTCCTTGCGCAACTTCCTTTACTCTTTTTTTTTTTTGTAGTATTTGCGTTGCTAATATACCCCCAGATCGTCATCTACGTCTTCGCCCGCGTGATGCTCGCTATCGGCAAACTGGCCATCCAACCCAACATGCACCCACTCTCATCCCTCATCACTCCCGACGCCCGCACAAAGATGACCGATAATGCCTGGCCCGTCTTCGCCAGCATGACCTGGGCCTCGGTCATGTATATTTTCCGCTGGTACCCGGATACCCTTGCCTCCAGTCTGCGGAGCAGTATGGTATACATGTATGTTACGCCACGGCCCTTCTCCACGGCCAATGCCGTTTCTTCTTCTGTTTGACTAACGTCGTGATTTAGTTATGCTGATTCGGATCACTGGGACTCATTACGGACACTGTTGCTACATAACAAATGAGCGCCCGAGGCTTCCGGTTTGGCCTGGTGTCTTCCCCATTTTCTTCTTTCATCCAGCTGGTTTTGGATTATACGGCGTAAAGCGTGGAGTACCTCTTTCCCTTCATTGGACCGAGCCTGGTATTTTTAAGACTCGTTCATGATGTGCATCTCTGTTGATTGTTGATACCGCCGTTACGTACTATGAACATGTGCATTGTCCATTGATTCTCCTTTTCCCTTTTTGTACCTACATTTTGCATGGAATTCGATTATCATATAGGCTACGGTATAGTTTGAAATACTAGAAATATTTTTAAATGCGTTGTGCCCAAGGAAGAGGTGTAGGTGGTACATAGTATGTCATTAAAGGTCTGATTGGTAGATCGTTCGAATTGAGGTATCAGTAAAGTACTCGGTGTAGCTAGCAGTTGATAATACAGGTTGAAGAAGAAGAGGGGGAATTAATTTGACCAAGTCATTCGTCCCAAGGGGAGCTGGTGCTGGACACGAGGCGCATCAACACACCAGACCCTGGAAGGGGATCCATCAGGCAGAGAAGGTTACCCTACCACTGCTGGCGCGAGGCTTCGTGGCCCCCCGCCTCCAGTGGTAGAGGGGTTGGTTCATAAGCAGACATCATCACAGGCTGAAGATTTTCTATCTCGGTCGGCAAACTAGATGATTCCATTTCGTAAGGGCACTCCTAGTGCTGGGTATTTCCCTCGGTTTCGACCAAGACTTTCAAGTCACCGTCCATCCATTCCGTGGTCTCGGCTGTGAGAAGAGCGATGGTCCACTCTTTATCAGCTTGGACGGGGACGAGACCCTGCGGTAGCCAGGCTTTGACTTTCCACGAAGCAAGCGTCTCTCGGGCTTGTTGGGTGTTATTATCAATGCTGGCCGATCCACTGAGATTCGGATAGCGGCGGAGAATTGTATGTTTGACCGTTTCCACGTCTGGACATTGGCTGGCGGGAAGGTCGAGGCGGGGTAAGATACGCTTTCCTTGCTGGACTATGTTGATTCGGAGGTATGTTGGATTTTGCGTACAAGGGTTTTGTGTAGGGGCGGATGAAGTGTTTGTAGTTGGCTGAGTGTGCGAGGGGAAGTGATGGTCTTGACCTTGCGGAGGGTTGTGAGCGCTTTCTCGAGAAGCAATGTTCTCTCGGATGATCCTCGACACATCGCGCGTAATACTGCTTGCACTGTTTAGGGTGTTAGTCATGATGGCTGGTGCCAAAGGCTCCATGTTGAAACTTACAACTCATCTCGGGCTGGCAGACTGCGACCTCCGCCAACCCGCCAGGATAGATCTGATGCAGTATTTGAGTGAATGATACGGTTGATGTTTTCGTCCTCGCACATGGACGGACACTCGTAGTGACCATTGTGAACGACGTAGTAATGGCTATCAACCGCGGCAACCAATCCACGCCAATCGGGCTGTTGGAGGCCGGAAATAGACCAGAGATTATCCAGCTCGTAGTCTTGATTGTACATGTCATAAGTTCTGGCAATTTCGTTCCAGTCGACTGTATACCCGTCCAGTAAGAGATCAGTCAGTCCGATTTCCACTGGCTGACCAGGGTCCATTGGAGGAGGTTGCGGAGCTGAGATCGAGGGAGGCGGAGGCATTGATTGACTCAAGCTCTCTGTGCGGTGATCCTGGCCGTGCATCTGAAGCTGCTGCTCGGGAGAATATCGTGGACCGCCCATCTCAGCGAAGCTTTCATCCGTCTTCCGACGGCGTCGTTCATCGGGGCTACCTCCTTTGCGGGTTTCGATGGCATACTGGCGTTGTCGTTCATTCGTCACCATTCTTCTCAATAAAGGAATGACTAGTGAGATGATCTTTTGAGAATCGCGTGGCCAGATGTATGTTCTCGGACCCATGCCCTCATTGACAACATTTTCCCCAAAGAGTCGATCTCCATTACCCTCGCTATCCAAAAAGGTCCTGGCGCAATTCCACAGGCGCAATTTAACCATTTCGGTGTCGCCTTTTCCCCTTTGGCCAACGCAGTCGCGTCGCTCTGGGTGGTCATCATTCAGCATGTAGGACTTGGCTGCAGCTTGAAGATGAAGGAAGTTTTCTGGAGATAGTTCGAGCGATGAAAAGAGCTTCGACATTGGAGGTCGCGTCTGCTTTTTGTTGGTCGATGGTTGTCGGAAAAGCGCAGCAGCGGAATGTACGCCGACTGCACGCGCGTCAGACAGGGACTGCGGGGGCACGGATCGAATATTCATGCTGTCACTGGAGTGTCCATGTTGGGTAGGTTGAGGTTGATAGTGTTGCTGTGGGAGACCTGCTCCAGCCAGCTGAGGATCTAGATTGTCGTCATTTCGCTTCCTCTTCTTAGAGACGGTGCGGCTGAGACCAGACGATTGCGAGTGATCGTTCGGCACTCGTAAATGTCTTCCTCCTCCCATCCCGGAGCCAAAGTGTGCATCACTAAAGGTGTCATCTCCGAGATGCATGTCTGCGCTGTACCCGTCTAATTGATTCGATGCTGCGTCTGCGGTGGCAGCCGCCTGCGCGACTGCCGCCCATTCGTTGACATCGTGGTCTGCCGCGGCAGTCGCTGCTTCCACCAAGCCCGCTAAATGGTTGTCATTGGGGGCATATCCACTATTGGGATCGACGTTTGCATTAGACGTTTGTGTAGGCATATCGGCCGAAGAAGTGGGTATTATCTTGAAGTCGGAAGCCGAGTTAGACATTGCGCAGAATCGGAGGTGGACAAAGGCAAGAATGTCTGGATAGTGGTGTTTTTTGGGAGCTAAAGAAAGATCGCGCGCGATCTCAATTTCGAACTGCCAGGGCGCGCGACTTGATTCGTTTCCAGGGTACTTCACGCAACTTGCTCAACAGACTCAAATGACTGTGGCTGTCGGGGAAGTAAAGCTCCGACTAGAGCGCGCGGCGCAAAGTAACCAGTCAAGCAGGCGACGAATGATGAGGCAGTTGGGTTGGCGACGTAGGCAGGAGGAAGGAGGTAAGCTGGGGATAATTTGAGGGAATCCTCTCGACTCCACGCCCCAAACGGGGGTGTCAATCGTGCTGGGGATTGAAGTGAAGTAGCTCGGGCGGAGCTCTGGAGACTCCGGGGCTGATAAGAACGCGACTGGCGACGGTGGATGTTTGGTTGGTTTGAAGGAAGGACAGACAGTGCAAACTTCCCTGGTCACCTGGCTAGCACGTGATGATGTGGTTGCATCTACACACGTGATCTATTGGTTGCCCTACTATGAGTTTGAACAAAACATTCATGTTCATTTGATTATTTAAATCATTCCAGAACAGTTGCCATGTTGATATAAATGGAGATAGGATAAGATTGATTGAAAGCTTCCATGTGTTGCTCCGTACATCCTGTTGGTAGACACGGTATCGCCGATTTCGAATTGAAGTATGAAATGACCATAATGCCAACCTTGGAACCCTTTTTATCATGTAAAGGCTCCACCATATCTAGTACAAATAGAATGATGGTTGATGACTGAGAATCGGTAAGAAATGCCTTTGGGCTCTCACGGTCTATAAGTAGGGTTTGAAAATTTTACGAGGCACTGTATGGACATCAATCAGTAGTAGTCTAGAACAAAAAGTGTCACTCTCCAAAAAATTGTAAAATCTTAATTCTGAGATGCTCGCCAATCCAGCTGGCCAACTAAAACGCAAGAAATAACAATGGTACTTAAATATACAGCCATTGAATGGGAGCTTGATAGATCAGGAGCGCAGGACAAACGCATCCCAAGTATAAGCCAAAAGCAACGATGAAAGAGCTAGATAATCTAATTGTAGACTGCCCAATATGAAACCCATCTCAAACGCCAAAAAGTAGATGGTAGTAGATATCATATAGATCATGATGTTGTGTTATGGAGGGAGACCGAACGTGGGGTTCCAACTCCCAGAGGCTCTAGAAGCCATCGCCATCTTTCCAAGGTCGCCCAACTTCTTCGGCACGAAGCCTGGGGTCGTTACCTCGGGCAAGGGCATTTTCCAATAGAGCTTCCACCTCCCGCGTTTTAGCAGCCAACGGTCCTTCATTTTCAGACTTGCCGCCTGGCGGAGGGATATTCAAATCCATGGTCTCATCTAGCTCACCAAAGTTTTTGGTCGTCTCAAGGTCTTCCGACATCCAATCGAAGTTATCAGACTCAAGCTGCAACTCATCCCGCTCTTCCATCGCCGCCTGGAAAGCTCTAAAGTTGTCTAGGCCTCCAAAACAGAATCCATAGCCATCGCATAGGCAAACGCTCTCATCCGGGCACAAGACCGGCTCGCCGGCGAAGACGTATTGCCAGAGATATTCCCAGACTCGCCCGGTTATGTAATCACTCAGGGTAGTTTGCAGAAGCCAGTCACGGTAGAACACGAAGCGAGAGCGAGGGATTGTTCGAATACGCTCCTTTGATAGGGCGAATTGGGCACAGCACGGCTGTGCCAGGACCAACGGGACCGGGTCGTCGGGGAAAATTTCGCTCCAGGCTCGGGCAAGCACGATTTCTTCCTGTTTTGTCTCGTCGGGCTCGATTTCGCCGGGGTGCATCCAATCAGGACACCCGGGGCCCAGACCGCAGCGGAGATTCATATAGCCTTCTCGGATCACGCGGTTTAGATTCAATCGCCTTACGGTCTCCGCAGAATCGCCGCCGAAGAGCTTTTCGTTGTGCCATGCGTTCTGATGTGCGTGTACGAAGACCGAAACGTCGGGAAGATTATCGTAGAAATCAATGACATAGGTCAGATAGATCATGACCTCGTTGCCCTTGTTCACCGGTGGGTGGAGGGGGGCCGAGGGATCATTCGCGACGTAGATCGCTGTATCCCAATCCGGCAGCTCCTCTGCGATCCAGCTGACATCTTCCTCTGTCGTACGCGGCACGACGAGCCGTTTTGTATACTGCGTTCCGAGCGGTTTGGGAATTCCGGTGACGAAGTTTGGTCGTGGAACGTAAGGGTATGGTTTGATATGACCGGTGCTGACATTATATGCCATTGACCAATTGGTACTGGCGCCAGAGCCATGGGAATTGGAGGGAAGATATTCTCCCAGGCCGACGGCCTGCGGGACGGACTCCCATGCGTGGGGTTGGCGCAGGCTGCGAGCTGCGAAAAAGACGAAAGTAAAGAAGCAGAACCCGAGGAAGAGAACCGCTCGCCGTGAGAGGACCATCGAAGGGGGTTGGTGGGATGGGTTGGACGCGGAGAATTTTCTGTCCTACAGGGCAAATGTTAGCTGGGCAGTCCTGGCAAGATGCCAACTGTTGGACCCTGTGGTGGGTGCGACAGGGCGCAGAGACGATCCGGGTCGGGCGATGGACATACCACGTAGATCAGGGGTAAATCATTGCAGTCAACAAGGTGGCCTCATCGCAGGGCGGGAATGATGAAGTAAAGGAATGGAAGGGTCGATGAGATAGAAGCAAAGCACCGACTCACAGATCACAGATCACTGCTCCTGGAGTTCATATAAGCTCCAGTCAGTCTCGTCCAGCCAATCGAGCCAAGAAGGGTCGTCATGGTCCACCGTGGGGCGAATGGAAGGGGGAAAATGTGGTCGGCGGTGGATCGTCCATTGAGCACTGCCCGCTGATGACGAGTATCCTGGCCATGGCCACGGCCATTGCCCCAATCCAACACTCAACCTGGTGGATTAGGAGCTTGACCTCCCCGCGGAGTACGGGGTATGGAGTATATGTTCTTGTTCTACAGATCTTGCAGCATAGTGCATACTTCTCTTATACTAGTACTACTAGTAATCAACCATGATATAGACATCCATGCCTCTCACACTTTCCAGATACTCTGCAATGGAGTATCAAATAGATGGATACATATTTCTAGTGTACATTTAACAAATGGATATTTAATATTTACCGAGTGAACAGTGAATACTATGTATCCTTCATAGATGTACATTACTACTCATACTGAATGTGCCTGTATAGACTGACCAATCAGAAGGCCGCAGTTATCAGTCCATTATCTCACGTGACACCGCGAAAACCTGCGGCGCCGCAACTTTCCAAACTTCCAAACGGGAAATTTCTCGTTCATCTTGCTTCCCCAGATGCCCTCAGGCTGTCATGATGCAGTCTTCTAAGATTCAAGGTCGTCCCGCTGAAGATGCCATCTCCGTCAAGGCCTCTCATGCCTCCCCTAAGAAATCTCACGACCCCCTAGCCCACCTTCTCGCCGGCGCGTAAGTTATGATTTCCCCGTCGCCACGCGGCAACTTTTTTTTTTTCGAAACAAAACATCAAGAAGCCCCAACATCGGACTAACCCGTCATTTTATATTTAAATAGGAGCGGTGGATTCGCAACTGCAATCGCAACTTCTCCTCTCGATGTCCTCCGTACACGCCTCCAATCCGATTTCTACCAACGACCCCCTGCACCTTCCGCCTCTTCCGCCTCTTCTCCGATCTCCCAAATCACCAATGCCCAACACACAAAACACAAGACATCCCGGATAATCAGTAACATCTACCGAGCTGAAGGCTGGCGAGCCTTCTTCCGCGGCCTGGGACCCAGTCTCGCCGGTGTGGTCCCGGCCACCGCAATCAAATTCTACGTCTACGGAAACTGCAAGCGCATCGGCGCTCACATGTTTGGCTGCGGCGAAGATTCAACACTCATTCACGCGCAGGCCGCTATCTCCGCCGGCATTGCCACCTCTACCGCAACAAATCCTATCTGGCTCGTTAAGACTCGCCTGCAACTCGACAAGGCTCAAACAAGTACCGGAAACCGCCGGTACAAGAATAGTCTTGACTGTATCCGTCAGGTCCTTCGTCAAGAAGGTCTTGGCGGCTTGTACAAGGGTCTCAGCGCCAGTTACCTCGGTGCGGCTGAGACAGCCTTGCACTTGGTTCTGTATGAGCGTTTGAAGGGTATCTTGCAACGGTCACTCGTCTCGCCTGATGGAACGGATACCCCAACGCAAAGGGAAATCACTAGTTGGATCAGTACAACTGGTGCGGCTGGTTCTGCCAAATTTGCTGCGGCTTTGATTGCTTATCCCCACGAGGTACGTATTGAAAATGAAAGCAACGCGCACACTCAACTGGTTCTGCTGGGAAGCTAGCCAGCCACTTACTCTGTCGAACTTTTCTAACAACTGTCCCTTTTTGCTACAGGTCATCCGTACCCGTCTCCGCCAGGCTCCCCTCGAAAACGGTCGTCCCAAATACACCGGTCTGGTGCAGTGCTTCCGACTCATCGCTAAAGAAGAGGGCATGGCTGGCCTCTACGGTGGACTGACGCCACACATGATCCGCTCCGTCCCTTCGGCCATCATCACCCTGGGCGTATACGAATTCGTCCTGAGACTTGTCGGCACATCCGAATGAACATAACGCTCTCATCTTCTGTGGGCTGCCACATTGTACACTATTATTGAAAGAAGCGGCTTTCCTCTCGACTTGCTTTGAATCTGGCTGTTTTTCTGCGGGGCTGGATATGCTGTTGCGAACCTAATTGCATGTATTCTATCTACGGCGTTTTATATGGTGGGATCATCATACTGTTGCTTTTTCGTGTGTTTTTTCTTTGCTCTGGGAACTGTGGATAGAATCTCCTGTCTTGAATATCTGTATTATACATCATCTTGTCACTATCATACAAAAGAACTTTCGACTCTTATCATTTTACCTTGTTTCTCCCTGTTTTTCATTAAATTCTCTAGCATAGAATAACGAAGTGAGAGTCTTGAGAGCTGTGTATCATTTAGGGGAAATCTACATTGGTATAAGAGGTCAAAATGCTAGTGTGCAGTTCGGGATCAGATAGCAGTATCTCGAACAATTCTTTATCCAAAAAGCCCGAAACCTAATATGAGAAATGGAGGGAAAGAAAAGAGAACCCGGGTATGATATTTTGCTTCAAAAAAACGCCATGCAACGCTGATCCAAGGGAAGTAGGCAATGCGATCAGGGGACTAGAGCTGGAAGCTCAAAAGAGGGGAGGGAAAGTACAGAATTGGGGGAGGGGTATGATATCTATGGATTTAGAGGGCGTTTTCGTCTGCCTCTGCCTCTTCCACGGTGGCTGCGCGAGCCTTGCCCTTTGATGCAGACTCGGAGTATGTGCTGCCTTCTTCTTCCGTTGCCTCCTTTGTGGGTTGGGCACCACTGCCCCAGCTTGTTGGAATAGTAGATGGGCCTGTCTCTGGTACTTGCTCAGACTGTACATCTGTCCATTCTTGGGACGGTGACTCTGCCCTGTGGTCCGCCGACGTTGATGATCCATTTGGCATTCCCCAGCTGGGCAATGTGGGAGGTGCTGTTGACTGCGTCTCTGTAGTGGATGTTTCGGGTGTTGGAATCGGCGCGGTGCTTCCGGCGGTCTCGTTGCTGCTATTCGCGGGAGGCTGGTGCACCCGGGTAGTTGACTGTGCGCTCGGGAATAGGCTTGTTGTTGCTGTGGGGCTAACGGTTTGCGGCGCGTTCTGACCATTTTGCTCGTTGGGCTGGAGAGGGACAAGTGTCCAACCTGGCGGAAGGTTGAGTCCTTCCGGCAACCGGCTATCTCCAGCTGACAAAACAGAGGAGCCCGGCCCAGCGACAAATTGACGTGCAGAAGTTCCTGATGGTCCAGGTTGCGGTGCGGCGGCTGTTGAAGATGTTGTTGGAGCAGCGATATTGGCCTGTTCTTGACGCAGTCGATCTAGCTCTAGTTGAAGGTTGCGCACATGCTGGAACTGCTCGGTGGCGGCACGCAGGGAGATAATTTCCTGGGTTATTTGCTGCTCAATATGTTGCAGCTGAGTATGGACGTCGGCGATGTTGGAAGTTGGGGCAGGATGGTGTTGACCATGCGGTGTAGGCACAGGTGGACGACGACCAAATCCAAATCCAAATCCAATTTGACGTGCTCCTTGTGGGTTGGCATTTGCCGCAGGTTGCAATGGCGCATTTCCTTGGTGAATTTGCTGGTGAAGATTATTGAACAGATCGCCGCCTCGTACAGCACCGAAACCGATCCGAAAAGGACCGAACTGGTAGACGCGAGCTCTGGGTGCTCCATCCCCTTGTGCACCCGGCTGGCCCGGTACTTGGTTTGGAGGAAATCCGCCAGCGCCATTGGCGGCGTTATTGGCATTAGCACCGACAGCTCCTCGAGCGGCCGCAGCCGCAGCACCAACCACTGGTCGTCTGCAAGTAGGACAGTTCTGTTGTCGTTCCAGCCAGCTCCTCAAACAGGAAAAGTGCAAGATGTGACCACAAGGAAGTTTCTTGGGCGGAGACGGTCTGGAACACGCTGTGTGCCTGCAGCTGGTGGTGGAGCACCTTCTCCAGCAGCATCACCGGCAGCGGCAGCTGGCTGAACAGAAACCATCTCCTCGCGGCAAATAATGCAGACTTCTTCCCTGGCGACCTCCTCCGGGCTCGCATCCGGGTACCTTTCATTCATGTCCCTAGTCGCATTGCGGTAACGGAGGAAGTCCATGATCCGCCGGGCAAAGGAGCGGATAGTAACAACAACGTCGCGCAGAATGTGAATAGGCAAGCCATAGAAGGTAAGAAGAATAGCAAAGAATACCAAATAGACTACGAGCTTCACAAAATCGGTCAAAAGATCGAGATAGAAGACCCATCTGCCCTTTTCCTCCCATCCGGGGACATCGATCTCAAGCTCATCGATATCGTTCTCATCGGGAAGGTCTGCAGGCGGGGAGCTTTCTCCAGCGCGCGCGTGCTCTCGGATTGCTTCCAATCTTGCTTCCCGGATCTCTGCTCGGCGTTCGTCCATCCTTGTCTTCAACTGTTGGCGGGTCACATAGATTTCCACCAATGCGATTCCATAGCGAGCGGTGGTGGAACTTGACAGAATGGTCAAGATTGCGAACTCAAAACCGAACATCACCATCATATCTGGGCGCGCTTGGTGTATAACCGTGTTGATGCAGTACCGCAACATGAAGGCATTGAAGAGAACCGACAATACCAACGAGGTGGCGAGGCGTGTATGAAATAATCGAGGGTTTGCCGGGGCTGTTGCTCGAGATATTCAACCCGGCCTTCTCCTATCCATCCCCAGACCTTTCCAACCAGGAGCGAGATGAACATGACCAGGAACCAACCGCCAAGCTCGCCCCGGAAGATGGTCATAGCCAAGCATGTCTCGGTAACGGCGAACCACGCTCGCTCATATAATTGTTCGGTTTCGATGGGTCGCAAAGGCCCGTATAGAAGTCGCTGTAACCAGAAGAGGACAAAACCAGTTACGAGAAGACATAAATTCGTTAGAATCTAGAAGCGCAACGTTCGGAGCGCGCGGTCAGCCACGTTTCGGGGTGGGACAACGGGGTGACGAGCAATTAGAGTGGATCAACTCACCATCAGATTCGCACTGCTCTGCGAGAGATATACACATGCCGCGTAGAAGTTTGCTCTTTGGTGGAGAGCCTTCAAGAACACACCGGTGGCTAGGGCCACTGAGGCCTGTTAGCTGTTAGTGGGAGTCGTTCGTTAGGGACGCATTTGAGGGGCGGAGCGGAGAGTGAGAGCGAAAGGGCAGTTAGGCGGAGGGACAAGACTTACCCCGGCGTAGGCGGCCAGTCTCATGGCGAATCACTGAAGCACGAATTGGCAGGTCATCAGAGAAGAGAGGGGGACCTGGAAGGAGGGAGATGTGAGACGTGGAGTATGGAGTATAGAAGTAGCTGGGTGACTCCATCTGGACAGCTTTCCTCCCGCCTCTCCGCATATTACGTCAGCGGCACGTGCCCATCTATCAGCATACTATCAGGCATTGACTATGAAACATTCAAAGGAAATATTTAGGTATCACTGGGGTTTATGAGGAGAAAGTATTCTGAGACTATACTCAGTTGCTCCAAGGAGTATTTATGCGGTTCGCCCAGATGTCACTACTGGTACTGGTGTCCAGGTGCAGAAAGATATATAGTAGTACCAAGCCTTAGCGTTGCTACTACTACCTGGTACTGGTACTACATACTAGTAGTTACTACCTAGGTAGGTATAGTAACTTCCAAGGTTCAACTTGGAAGTAGTACCGACGTCTGACAGCCCTGGAGTTGACTCAAACCTCGGGAGCTCTCATTCAAGGCTACCAATCCCAAGGTTCAACCGTCACGGTGGTTCAACCTTGGAAGGTTAGGGCAATCTATCCATTCAATGGAATAGTTTTACTTTGAAGCACATATCTCATTATTGACTCAGAGGTTGGGGCACAACCAATTTGAAAATTACAGGTACTTCCTTCCTAGGTAGGTAGTTTTCGGAAATGACTCTTCATTCGAAGAATCCTCATGAAGTTCCACAATCTCTAGCGGCGAATTGGGCCTGACAACTTGAAGCTCAACTTGTACCGTTATAATGGTAGTTCACACTCAATCAGACTCTGGGAACCATGGCCACCGCTCCAAATATTATTGATAGTTAGGCCTACCCTCATTTCAAGGAGATGATACCAAGCTGTACGGGTGCGTTCTTGAGAAGACATGAGTGTCAACATGACCATGTCGAGTGCCGTGGCTTCCCAGTAGGCAGCTGTCTCTGGTATCACATGCTCATGAATCAATAGCCTGCTGTATCCGCGTTTCATGGCAGCTTTGACATGCGTAAGAATGCTTTCACATATTTCGTCTGGCCAGTCATGCAAACAATTGTGCAGATAATAGGCTCGGGCGCCTGATAGTGTAAGTTTAATTTCACCTCCAGAAGAACAATTTGTAGTGCTATATGGGGCTTACCATTTACAGGCTGTTTCGTGTGAAAGTCGTACTCCATGCGGAGGATAGAGGGTTCTAGATCCTGAATTTGACCAATGACCAAAGGTAGATCTTGAAGGATCAACTTCCCTGGGACCTTGGGGTGAAATTTGTGAAACAACTCTAGGTCATGACCCACGTTTCCGCCGATATCGACGAGAAACGGAGCCTTTGGATCCGTGTCAGCGCCGTCGATCAGCCTCTCTTTTACTGGGTAGAAGCTAGGAGTCATCCAAGGCAAAGAGCCAAGGGCGTAGCCGCTCATGTGGTCACTAAAGTGTGAACCGTAACCCAGAGATTGTTGCCATGTAAAGGTATCCATAGTCGTTCCGTAGGCATACATCATTGCCGTGTCTTTCGCGTCGGTGGGATTCACCCAACCTCGCTTTCGCGAGAACTCGTGAAATCTCATAGGACCAGCACTTGTGCAGGAGAGCCTGGGGATGTGAGCAGCTAGCCAATAAAAGGTCCAGGCTGGGAGACTGTGCTTACATGGCGAGGTAGCTATTGCCAATCGCCGGAATGCTCATCGCCTTCATAAAATTCGTCAACCTGTATTCGTCCACACCAATCTCGATGAGGTACCCAGTGGCACCGAGGTGTCGCATTAATCGACCTCATAGGGCGTCAGCTAGTCTGATAACATGGGCTAACGTGGAACATACTCAGAAGTACATGATCAATCGCAAGCTTCTCTGCCAACTCGTCCACCTTTTGTGGCATGTCGCCGTTTTGTGCCATGAGTTTCCACAAACCCGAGTCCACACCAAAATTCAGGCCAGCCATTGCACCGGTCTGTCTGACAGTTAATTCTGTCGAGTTCACAAAACACTGGTTAACGATGAGATACTTGCATGTGCCCAGCAGTGATAGATCATGGTCTCCCGGGGAGTTTCCAGAGCTTGAACCAAGGTGCGACATTTGGCAAGCAAGCCTTCTCGTCCTGCATTGATGGTTTTCAAGGCATCGAAGGCTTGTGTTATCTCCTTTAGCAGCGTTGGAACAGCTTCAATGTCATTTGGCTCGGTAGCAATGGAGACATCGACATGGGATTGGCCTTGCTCTGGTTTTTGGGCTGGCATATTGATTACAACCAGGCATGGAGACCTGGAGGAACTGGGAAACAATGTAATATACAAAATTTGCGTAACGCTGCAGATGTGGATGATTATATTAAAATGCAGGGAGGCCCAGATGTACGTGCCAAGGTCGAATATTCCCGATAGTGGCTAAAGCTCAGAGACGTTTCGCTCACGCTAACACAAACCATGAAAGTTTGATCGCACATATGATCACACTGCAGCAAAAAGCCCTGTCTTGGTGATTCAACAACTATTCCAGGTGGGTCATGTCTCATACAGGAGGGGATTCTAGCTATGTCCCCTGCCACTTCAAAAGTGGACATGAGAGGAGATGAATTCCCTGCAGCTCCTGACTTTTGGCTCAAAGTCAAAGTTGGATTGGGCATGCATCGTTACCGATTAGGAATGGCATTGAACGTTATAATTCAACAGGCACCTGAGTTGTACGATCGTCATGCAGTATGAAGCTACGCTGAATCTAACCAAGAGCCAAGGAAGGTTCTTGGGCCGACGAAATACCATCAAGTTTGAAGTTTGAAGTGCTCATTTGGTCGGCTGGTGGACCACGCCCCAGCGCCACAGTAAAGGTCGGTGAAGGAGTTGAGAATATTCCCTACCGCATCCAAATCATCTGGCCGGATCGTTTGACCATGCGGAGCCGAGCCAGAGTAACCACAAAATACTTTCGAAGATTCTGTGCTTGGAGGTGATGAATGGCTGAAAAGGCCGTGATACTAAGAGAGAGAAGAGAGCGCGATCTAGACCACGGTGGCCTTTATGTTGCGGCAGATGAGGCATCTGGGCTTCCTTGCATGGGATTAATGGGTGATTGCGAGCACCTGGGCTTATCGGTCACGGTACTATGTGTCACATCCAGGCAACCTTGGCATACCGGCCGCCGCTTAGTTTAGCTTGCATGGTTTCTACATCTTTCAACTTAGCGTTGCGATATTTCTACCCCATATTATTCATGCTAAGTTTTAGGCTTCTTCGCTCCTGCTTTGCAACTTCAAACACGTCGACGAGCTCTTGCATCCGTACGAGGCTCGCACAATTAAGTTTGCTGTTTCCTCATTGGTATCCCTCTCAATGCAAATGATCAGTGCTATTTAGCGCTTCGTCCACATGGATTTCCAAGCTCCGGAATACAAGGCCAATGTTGTACAACCTAGGAAGGTTTAGGCTAATGCAATCTGCACCGCATAAATCTTGTTTTATACCTCCTAGCAAGGTTGAGACTATTTAGGAATAGCCTCGACCTGCCGATGATACCAATTGAAAGTACCCAAATATAGTCCCGAAAACTTTCAAGGCCTCGTGAATGAGGCAGTACTTTGTGATATTGCTGCAGTTTCTGTCCGCACCCAAGGACTCGCAGATAAAATGATCTTGCACAGGTATTTTCGCCTACCATCAACCCAACGACGGCATGTCCGCAGAAACGGCCTTCCAGCTAAGAATATATTGCACAACCTGCCTTGGGGCAGTCGTCTCTTTATGACATCGATTTCATCTCCTGGCTGGAGACAGTTGGACATCGCTGTTATTGGCGGCGGGATAGGGGGAATGTCCGCGGCGACCGCTCTGCGCCGTGCCGGCCACAAGGTGTCTATTTACGAAGGTGCCGATTTTATCGGTCAGGCCGGTGCTTCTATTTCGTGTGCCGCAAACGGCACGCGCTGGTTGCATGAATGGGGCGTAGACGTCACCAAAGGCGATGGGGTGATTTTACAAAAGCTCATCAGCCGCGATTGGACGACGGGCAAAATTATGACTGAGTACGACCTGGATGACTATGAGAAACGATGGGGATATGTGTACTACATGTTTCAGCGGCAATGTATGCACACAATGTTGAAGAGTTCAGCATTGAGGGAGGGAGAGGGAGTGCCGGCAAAGCTCTTCTTGAATCACAAGGTAATATGTCAAGTCACTATGAGCATCTACTTGCTTTTGTCCCTTCCGCAGCGGATCTAATATTCTCTATCAGTGCAAAGAGATTGATATCAACACCGGTTTGATTGGGTTTGAAAATGGATTGTCTGTCAACCATGATCTCATTGTCGGCGCGGATGGCATTGGATCTGCCGTTCGTGGTGTTCTTGGTATCTGGCCTGAGAAGCGACCTGCCAGATCTAGCTGCCTACATGCAAACGTTGATACTGAAGAGGCGATTGCCGCTGGTTTGCCTGACTTCTCTCAAGATAATGCCCTGCAGTTCTGGGGTGGACATGGGGAGATCTGGGACAAGATCGTTCTTTCTCCATGCCGAGGGGGTAAGCTGTTGTCATACTATTGCTTTTTCCCGAGGGAGAAAGGTGACTACGTGGGTCATTCCTGGGGGGAGCCTGACCGACCAGTGGAAGAATTGCTTGCGCCGTATCCTCAGCTCGATGCGCAAGTCCGCGGGCATTTGACGCTTGGAAAGGAAATCCAGCCATGGCGTTTATGGATGCAGTGAGTTGAGCCCAACACATAAATTGCGATAAATTAATTAGCTGTATTATCCACAGCGACCCGTATCCACACATCGTCAGAAATATGGTCTGTCTGATAGGTGATGCAGCTCACCCAGTGTGTCACGTTGTTATATAACTCGGGGTCAAACATTTAAGCTAACAAACATCCAGATGATGCCTCATCAAAGCCAAGCCGCCTGTATGGCGATAGAAGACGCAGCCGCCTTGGGCATTGTTTTTAGCAAGAAAACTTTCACAGGAGACATATCAGAGTCTCTGTCTGTTTACGAGTCGGTTCGTCTGCCTAGAGCAACCAAGGTTCAGGCAGCAGCAGCACGAGCGTCAGAGAATATCAACGAACGAATTGGTGAGTTCCAACATTGGAAGGTCATAATTTGAAGTACTTCATGTTCTCCTGATGTATTCCCACTGACGGTTTCGCAGGGTTCTCTAGCAATACTGACAATCCAGTTTACGTGGTGAAGAGTGAACAGGGGAAACTGACAATCGAAGAGATGAATGCGTGAGTCTCCAATTCCGTCAAGCCGGCCTAGTCTAATCAGTGGCAGCTACGATATGCACATGCACATTGATGAGGTAGTCTGCAGACGTAACGGGAAAGCGTATCATCACAAGTATACTCGGGGTCTGCCAATAGGGCTACAGCTATCAAACGGATATACCGTTGGAGGTAAAAATTGGTCTTCCGACTAGAGCATCCTAGATATGTTACTCTACAGAATTCAAGTTATAAAGTCTTTAACCCAGCTAGATACGTTACACTCTCTGGCCACAGGAGTCTGTTACCCACTACTAGTCCCGAGGTCCTACTAGTAGTAAATTCACGCGCCAAATCAGCCTTTAAACGTAACTTACCGTATTGAAGTTTTAAGTTTGAACCAGTGGATAGATCTTAGCACAATAAGTTGGTCTTGTTTTGTTATATTTTCCCTCTGGCAATAGTATAAAAATGGGGCGGTGGGTAAAAGATTCTCGTGGACAGCGGGTGCATATGGAGAGCATGAACTCTGATCCATGCCATGAGAATGCACACTCTTTGCACATTGCTTTCGTTCAATTACGCAGGGTGGTCCCCAAGGGCCACAGTGTGTGGCTTGGTTGTATGCCCGAATAGTGGGGATACGATTACGAGTGGACATGTAGTGTAACGCGAATGCATATAGAGGACTGAAGTATGAGAGGAGGCAACCTCGGAGACAGTCTAGGCGAGTGAAATCCCGGGGGAAAGATTGTGGCTTGTAGAACGGTGAACCCTCTCCGGTTAGTTGTGTCTAAGCGCTTCCCCCTCCGCAATGATCCACTTTCCTTAGAGAGCACCTGGCAATTTACCTCAACAGATCAGGCCTCTTCTCTGGAACTCCACACAAGCCCTGAGTGCGTCTAACTGAACATTCTTTCCTATGCCTATCATAATTATGGGTAGGATTGGCACGGCTATCTGTCCGCGTTATTCGGGCTTGTCCTAATCTTCTCACTTTTGAACAACACGTGTCGTGCATTGATGTGGAAACTGAATGAGATGTCTAAAAGATATGCACAGGTCACTTTCGCACGACTTCAAGTAACTTTCAGTGGATCCCAATCCACACTATGCGTTTTCTCGCTGAAGCCTAGCAGTTGGTCTTCACAATTGGACCTTTTCAGGTATCCACTGCCGCTTTGCCTCCATCCCAATTTCGATTCGGCGTAGCCCTTCGATCAGATTCTTTCGAGGTAGAGCAAACGTAATTCTGAACCAACCCGCCTCCCCGCTCTTGAACCTGGAGCCGGCACCAACGGCCACACCTGCTGCTCCGAAATTTTCAAATAGCTTTGCGTCTGTTTCCTTCGTTGCTAGCTCGCCCCCAACCCGCGCCCACATGACGCAGCCAGCAACCGGTGAATAGAATACAATCTGATGGAATGACAGGAAATCCTCTACTATCTCCGCTGCTTTGCGCAGGCGAGGTTTGTTGAGGCTCAGTACGTTTTCAACGGTCTGAAGATTCGAAAAGAGAGAAGCAACGGCTATTGATGCCATGTTGCACACCTTGAACCGATTGAGAGCCGCTAGTGCACGGCGAAGCTCGGGATTTGACTGCGTAATGAAATAGCCCTGCAGATGCGTTAGCGTTGGTCTGCACGTGCATACTCATTGATTATCCCGACAAACCAATCGAAGCCCGCTGCTACCCAAATCCTTGCTGATACTGTAAGCTACATGCACACGAGCATGGTCGACGCCAAGTCGCTTCAGGTCCATCGACAATACCGATGTGAACTTCGTTTCTAACCCAATCACAGTATCGGGATTAGCATCTTTACCGTATCTAGTCGCCCCAAAATTCGAAAGAGCGTATATCTCGTCCGAAATGAAGTGGATCTTGTGAGCTTCGCAGAATTGGAGCAGGGCCTCTAACCATAGGGGAGGATAAATTTGACCAAGAGGGTTGTGGGGATTGCAAAGTATGAGGGCCCGAATGGGGCACGTTGCCAATTTCATCGCTTCGCTATAGTGCTTTACAAGATCTGCTGCATTTTTTGGTCGTGTCGAGTATCTCACGGGAACTATGCTGACGTTGTTTCTCAGCATTGAAGTGACAGCAAACCCATCCCACATAGGTGCTTCCAGTAGTATACCATCCCCAGGATCGCAAATCGAGAATATAAGGGTCTCGATAGTCGATGAACACCCTGTGCTCGTCACGATGTGTTCCGGTAAAACGGCAACTCGAGGAGAGAAGAAGCGATTGAAAAATGATGCCGATACATGCAAAAGGCCTGGAGGTCCACCAGGCTCTTGGGAATATGAGAGATCTTGCCGTTTCATGTCCAATAACACGGCGTCTTTGATCAAAGGAAGTACGTCTGGTCGGATAAGCCAGTTCTCCGCCATATCCATTTCCAGTACGCCTTTTGGAGGATCTGGCTCGGCGGAGGTATGGTCTGAGAGCCAGGATAGGCTTCGGTTCATGCGTCCTGAGAGCAGCATTGACGGAGAGCAGCTGGTAGAAATCTTGAAAGGATCTATGTGCAGGGACGTAATGCGTATGACCTTCCATTTACCAAGATATTAGACAATATTTAACTAAGAGGTTAGACTGATTCATGTCTTTAGTATCAGCAACAATGAAATTGATCGCGTGTGGCTTGACTCACCGCTGTTTTGTTGTGAAGCTCCATGCAGAAGGGAAAGTACTAGTAGAAGTTTACAAGGAAATCAAGGCACACGATAATTCAGGTTGATCAATATTTCTTTTACTAATCACTTGTCTGGTCCTCGCAAAGTTTGCTAGATCTCCTAGCTGAATTGGTTTAAGTTCAAAGATCGTCGCTGCACTCAATGGATGGATCTAGGCCGATTCCATTACTCCCATTTTCCATCTTCGCCAGAGACCAAACGCCTGCTACTACCCGGGAACGACTGCAGATGAAGCAGCATGGCCCTACCTGTGCATACGCATGGGGTGTAGGTGAGAGAAGAGTCCTCAAATTCTCCTTGGCAGCAATAAGGTTCTCCAATTCTGCACCAGGATCGTCCCTTTTAAGTCATGGCAAGCGATCTTGACATTGGATTGGCCAGTCGTGTTAACCACAACTTGGTTTTATAGAGATGCAGGTGAGAACTCTGGCGTCCGCACATCTCGGTGTTTAGAACTGCAGAGGAACCTTCGGAATAGCCTGTCTTTCGCCGGGACTCGGAGCTTACCTTTTTTGAACCGATTTGCGTCTTAAGATCACCTTGGGCCATACACTTTCTACCTTTTAACCTTGTCACTTCCTATCTTCAGTTGAGCGCAGTAACTCAGATTGAAATTATACAATTGTGAGTAACTGAGTGAGCCAACAACGAGGCGAAATCCTAGTATGGATGCAGAATTGACATAATCTTATATTTCTGACTTACAAAGAGGACTTCAAGTCTGAGAACAGTGATACTCTGCATTTCACCATCTATATCTACAACGATTACTACTGAAGATGATCTGGGAGTCTCTGGACAGGCAACAACCCAAGCCACTGGTTGCGCTGATTCTGGGAGTCGCCGCAGTCCTCGTTTTCCACCTTTACCGCACGTACGCGCGACTGAAGCACTTTCCTGGACCCCTCGCAGCAAAATTCACAAACTTTCATCGCTTTCGCCTCGCGCGTCGTGGCCGCCTCCACCTATACCAAACCCGAGCTCACCAACAATATGGCCCCGCCGTTCGTTTCGGGCCCAACCTAGTATGCATTTGTGACCCGGAGGCCATTCAAACAATTTTCAACCTGCGAGGTGGATTTCCCAAGGTCCGTGAACCCCATCTCTGCTAGTATGAGAACGTGGCTCTCACAATATTGATGGATGTTAACATGATCGTCGGGCTGATGCAGAGCAATATGTACCGCGCCTTCCGGCCCTGGACCACTGATGGCTTACTCCTCTCCGTCTTCACCGCAGAAGACGATGCGACAAATCGAGAAATGAAGCAGCACATCTCTGTGTATTATTCGCTCTCGTACGCTGTATCCTCTTTTGAGCCAAGAATGGATAGTGCTTCGCGAATGTTCTTTGACGAGCTTGATCGCCGATTTGTGCCCAAGGGAGCACAGTTCGACGTGACTCAGTGGATGAAATTTCTCTCCTACGACACCATGGGTTTGATGACATTCTCCCGACCATATGGCTACGTTCAGCATGGGAGAGACTTGCACGGCATCATGGACGACGTGAAGAGGGCAAATCTAAGTATCGGACCCGTAAGTTATACATGGCCAGCAACTTTGATATGGAGCATGGCTAAACTTTGGGCAGATGACGCAGATACCATGGGTTGATTGGCTCTTGCATAAGAACTGGGGAGCAAATCTCTTCAAACGCGAAGCCATTGCCCCTCTACTGGACTACGTCCTGGCACGTATTTCGGAGCGCCAGGAAGAACGTCGGAAAAATCCCAAATCACCCTCCAATGCAAATATCGACGGACCCATTGCGGAGGGTGACTTCCTCGGGTATTATCTCAATGCCCAGGAGAGAAAGGATAATGTGCCACTTCGATTTGTGTCAACATGGACTTTTGCCAATATTCTTGGAGGGGCCGACTCCACAGCCTCCATGCTTCGATCTGTGGTCTGTTTCCTAGTAGAACACCCCGACGCACTAGAAACAGTACGATCCGAGTTGCGGGATAAGCAAAGCACTGAGACCGGGCTCACTCTACCTTTCCCCCAATGGCATGAGCTCCAGAACCTGCCCTTCCTAGACGCTTGTATCAAAGAGTCGCTCAGGCTCGATTCTCCATTCTCTATGCCTCTTGAACGAGTAGTTCCAGCAGAGGGAACCACAATATGTGGTCAATTTTATCCTGGAGGCACTGTGGTTGGCATGAGTCCCTATATCACTAACCGCTATAAGCCGACATGGGGTGACGATGCGGATGAGTGGCGCCCTCGCCGCTGGTTGGAAGGCGAACCGTCGCATATCAGAAAGCTTGAAGCCAGTCTGCTTAGTGTAAGTCAAGTCTAGCCAACCTCCCTGGTATGATCAATGTCTGATTGTAGCAGTTCGGGGCCGGAACACGAGGTTGCCTGGGCCAGCATGTCGCCCTTTTTGAAATCAAGAAGTTTGTCACAGCACTCTTTATGAACTACGATGTGAGTACTTGGGCTGCGGGCATACAGTCAATGATCCATACTTACGGTTTAGATCGATCTTGTCGAGCCTCGAGCGAAGTCCAATCCATACTTCTGGGTCGTCTACCCAGAGAGAGTGCGGGCGACGGTTAGAAAACGTGAACTCAAACAGTAGGTTGGATATATCCCAAAGGACTTCAAGCTGGACACCCTGGTACCTTTCGGTCCTGAATTGAATACACATTACGCGATGAACCCCAGGCACTGTAAACTCTAGGTTGTAGAAAAACCTCGAACCTTCCGACGTTGAATATCGTTGTTGGTTCTCTGTGACTTTGTAATGTTCAAATTTGGGATCATGAATGAACCTTGGAAGCCCATTTATGTGCGGACCAAGGCGGTATATCAGAGGATTATCTAGAGACGAGTCTTCAAGACCAGAATTACGGACATATTTATCATCTAGTTGCCACTAGTAAGAGACCTGCATCAAAACCTGAAATGGATAGCAGCACTAGTACCTTTAGTAATAACCGGAAGCTTATGTCAGCATATATTTGAACTTGAACCTCGTGACGATCATGGGCAATTCAGGAATGAGTTTCCATATAACCACCTAGGCAAGTTCAAATTCCTTTCAAGCTTGTTTATACTAGTACTAATAATATGCGAAGACTGTAGAGAAGCCTTGGATTGTAATTAACTCAATATTTAGTTGTCCCAAAGGTCGCCCGATCGGGAAGGATCTCCCTGTTATCTGATCAACACGTGACTCCCCGCGTTGGTGCCACAAGCTGAACTGAAACCCGCCGATCGTGATGGTCGCCTTGATTCTTCCTCCATTCTTCGTTCTTCCATCCACGTAATGCGCTGACGATGGTGATGGCATCATCTCCAGCCCTTTTCACTGCCTCTAGGAGGCAGACCCTCACATATCTGTTGGGGGTCTGTCCGTTTTCTATCGCATTCCTAGTCTTCATCAACTCATCCGTCTCGTTTGTGGTGACTGACCTCATTGGGCTGCACAATGGCGAGGGCGACGCCGTCGGCACCCTCGGCTTCGCAGACGAGCTACTTGCACTGGCTGCTTGTCCTTTGTGGGGTGTTCTTTCCGACCGTATAGGTGTCCGCCATGTATGTTTCAATTCTCCCTCCACACGCGATCTAAACATTGTCCATTGCTTACGTGGTGTTAGGTGTGCACTGTGGGGTATTTGATTATCGCGCTTGCGCTGGTTCTTTTCGTGCAGGCCACGAACGTCTACCCTCAACTTCTCCTCGGAAGGCTGCTTTTCAGTCTTGGTGGCTCGGCCGTGTCAACTATGGTCACAGCGGTCCTGCCGAGTGTGACGGGTAAAGCACACGCCGCCTGTTCATATCGCGCCTCCGTCTCATCTGAATTGACAATCACGCCTGAGCGATTGCGAGCTGCTGGTGGCGGGTCCGGTACTTCCGTGGCATCGCCTTCTGCTCGACTTTCTGGATTTGTTGGATTGTTCGCGGGATGTGGCGCCCTTGTTTCGCTCAGTGTTTTCTTGCCCCTTCCAGCTCGGTTTGAGAAGCAGGGCCTTTCACCGGCCGAGGCGATTCAGCGTAGTTATTATTTGGTTGCCACTGTGGCTTTGGTCATCGGATTGATCAGTTTCATCGGTCTTCGCAATCTTCCTGGTGAAGAAAAGAAGGGATGGAGTTCATTGTGGAAATGCGATTCCTTGGAGGATGTCGACGATTATGATGATTCCAGGACGTCACCATCCAGAATGCCATACTGGAAACAGCTGACGACGGCTATGCTGCTCGGCTTCCGCAATCGCAGCATCGGACTGGGATATGTGGGAGGCTTCGTCGCCCGGGCTTCGTCGGTGGGGATTTCCCTGTTCATTCCCCTGGCTGTAAACCATTATTATCGAGTGTCTGGGCTCTGCGACGAGTTACATGAACCGGCACCTGGTTCGGGACTAGGGGAGATCAAGCGGGCGTGTCCCAAAGCCTACATAGTCGCCTCCATCCTAACGGGGGTGTCTCAACTTGTGGCTCTATTTGCCGCACCAGCGTTTGGGTTCTTGACAGACAAGTCCCGACGCTACAACTTCCCGCTTCTGTTTGCGGCCCTTGTGGGAGTGGTGGGATACATGTCCTTTGGGCTCCTACCGAGTCCGCAGTACAAGGGGCCCGATGGCAGGGGTGGAGTTTTTGTAATCATGGCTCTCGTCGGGATTAGCCAGATTGGCGCTATTGTCTGCAGCTTGGCGGTGCTCAGCAACGGGATTTTGAGTGTTAGCATCGACGATGAGACATTGCGGAAGATCTACGAGGAGCAGAACGGCTCACGGGGCGAGGGTGGAGAATCGGACGAGAATCAGTCACTGCTTGCAGGATCAGTTAATCGGCGGTTACACCATTTGTCACATCTAAAAGGATCCATCGCGGGCGTCTACTCCCTGTACGGTGGGGCGGGAATTCTGCTGCTCACCAAGGTGGGTGGGCTCTTGTTCGACAAGTGGTCTTCGGGTACGCCATTCTACATTATGGCTATTTTCAATGGGATCTTGCTTGCCGCAGGGATTGTGTGTGGTGTCATGAATCATGTTGCGCCGAGGATGGCGGTGGCTCTATAGCCCTGCACTACCCCTCACCCTGACCCCCGACTAGGGGGTACTAATGACGGAGTATTGGGGCCAAAAATTGAGACTTTTCGTGCTTTTGGTTATGTTGGTTTTACTGCGCTATCTAGAGTATGCGCCTATTCATAGCGTGGTTTCAGGACGCGGCATATGTAAGGCGGCAAAAGAGCCGATAACTAGTTATGATCAAGTATACATGTTCCCACAAGGTTTACTTATAGACGAGTACCTACTCGTACCTACTCGTGCCCTTTCGTATGTACTGGTAGTAAATGTACACTGGGTTGTCAGCAATCCAGGGGCAAGCCACATCAATATTTAATCTAAACTAACGTGGTCAGTAATTAAATCGATGAACACCCCCGGAAAAGCGGGCCCGACTTGGTCCCGGCTCTCCTTTCGAGTTCGAGTTTGCACTTCTCATCTTCCTTCCCTCTCGCACTCTCCACCATCCATGATCTGGACTCCTCTAGACTCTCTCGATGGACCTCACAATGGACCGCAATTTGCGCCGATCCCTGAGTGGACAACTCGCAATGGAGCGCAATTTCGCCTGGCGGTGATGATGAGCGACCAACCCATTACCTCTTCCAGTCATAATCAAGTCAACCCTGGCTCTGACCGGCGTCTATACTCGACAGAGTCTAGCGCCCCCCCATTTAGCTTCAATTAGCTCTCGCCCCTTTTCCACAGCTGCAGCACTAGAGGCTCGTCGACTCCACCTTGTGCCCTGTGAAGGGTCCGACTGGGGAACCCCTGGGGCCTGTTCCTGGGCCTGTGCCTGAACCGTTCCCTCTAGTGTTGCCCGCCATCACACACACGGCCCCAATCACCACGATGCGAGGCCAAGAATTACTCGTACGGAGTAAAGCCAGCAGGTTCTGCCCCCATGCCAAGACGCCCTCGAATTTGGCCCGCTCTCGTACTTTTATGAGCGTATCGCCCGGGGCCGCCCCCGGTCTCTTTCTCTCTCTTTCACGCTGCACACTCTTCACTACGCTTGCCAGGCGCTTCGCTGCCTTTACTTTCTTTAACCCAGTCTTTCTTTAATACCGTCGCTATTATCTAGTCGACTTTACTCCAAGTACTGTGTACCCGTCACTCGTTCATTCATTCATTCACATTCTCTCAATATGCGCTTCCAAACTGTTGCTATCTTGGCCGGTGCCTCTGCCGTGTCTGCGGGTAAAACCGCCAACCTTCTCCTGCCTGGTTTCCAGGACCGTGACCTCGAGTGCGGTATTCAGGGCTCGGTATGTACATATTCCTCTGTGATGTGGCGAGAAGCGCGAGGCGATTCGGACTCGTTGTGGTCTATCGCGAAGTCTTGTCGCATCGCGAAATATCTATACCCGAAAACATCCGCTAACAACAAACAAACAGAGCGGCGATGCCACCACTTACTTGGTGACTTGCCCTACCAGCGTTTCCGCCTGCGGTATTCCCGGTGCTGGCATGACTGCCATCGCTGCCCCTACCTCTATGCAGCTGATCAACCCTGATGGCAAGGGCAACACTGCCTCCGTCTCCTGCAACGTTGCCGGCACTACCTCGGCCTCTTGCGTGGCTCAGGACGGTACTGTCACCGTCTCCCACACTCTGGGCCCCAAGGACCTTAACTGGATGCCTGTCACCATCACCACCCCGACTCCCACGTCGACCCCCACTCCTACTTCCACCGTCACCCCGACCCCGACCTCGACTTCCACTTCGACTGTCACCCCGACCTCGACCTCCTGCCCTGTGTCGAGCCCCGTCAAGTCGTCCACTCGTGTGCCCTCTTCCACCCGTCTGGCGACCTCGTCGATCCCCCTCAAGCCCACCGGCGGTGTCGTCACCGGCAGCCCCGCTCCCACTGGCTCTTCCACCGCCACCCCTCTCCCCAACGCTGCCGCCCCTCTGGCCGGCAACGTCTGGTCTCTCGGTGGAGCCGCTCTGGCCCTGGCCTTCGCTCTGGTCTAAGCTCAAAATAAAGCGAACAGCCTCCTCCCCTTCTTTCCTAGTGTCTCTTGGGTGCAGTGGTCGCGTTTTTCAGCATGTGCCCTAATCTGCGATGCTGGCGCGATATTGGTTTTACAAAGTTGCTTTGACTTTAGGGTTCTGGGTAACTAATTTCTAATGGATGGATTCATTGTGTCCTGGCATATATGTATTCATCTTATATTATTTAATGATTGATACCTTTCTCCACGACAGCATGATCCAGCGTGATTCCTGTATTTTCACCTCTCGTGTATACCTATACCGAATTTACATATTTGCATATTACAACTTTTGGAGTTCTATCCATCTATTCTTCCACGTATTAGTAGTGGCCTACCTTTTGCTTTCGGATACTCAAACACTGGCAACCTTGGAAGTATCCGTCCAGGCTAAGCCTGCCAATGAGTCTATTATACATCCTCCCTTGGCCAGCCATAACCTTGACCTAGAATATCATAGATATCCACCAAACACTAGCATACTCGGTATACGTAGCGCAAAATAAGCAACTCTGACGCGTCATCGCGTAACTATTCAAATAAAAGCAATCCTGAGATAGATACAAGGAGCTAACCCGGAAAGTCACTGGAAATTCAACAATAATCCCTCCAAAAACTTAAGTTCTCATCAAATGCAAGGTCAATCAATCCCAATACAATCGACGCAAGGACCCACCCCAATTCTGTCACTTTGCCATGCGTATGGCGTCGTGAGTACATGGCATACTCGGCGAGATACATCACAACCGGCCCGAGCGATTGTTATTTGGAAGCACATTCATCCGTCCTTGCATTGTCGATCATCCGCCACCGCGTGTGGGGTGGATAAGTTGATCTACGTCAATGTTTCAAGGTTTGTTGGCGGGTTTTCTTTAACTTGGTACGTCTGTCGTATAGAGATTTGCAGCTTGGAATATAATTATGAGTTTGGTGGATATTACTATGCAGATTGTGGTCTTTATATGCTACTATATACATCGGATTTTGTCTGCCGGGTGGGGTTTTCCTATCTGGGCTGCCGCCGCTTTGATGAGGGCAATCAGGCTCAGGCTCAGTGAGTAAATGTCAGCACGCGCTTATGCTCAGTGATCTGATCAGCGCAGTTATGTGATAGCTCAGTGACTAATCATTATTGCTCAGTGTTCGTATGGCGGTAGATCAGTGATCATCGATGGGTGCTCAGTGATGGCTCAGTGATCACTCAGCTACTGCTTACTTACTAGGACTTTTTATCTAATCAGCGAGCGGTAATTCTTTTCTACAGCCTAAGTCAGACTATACCTAAAAAGGATATGCCCACAGGGCCATCTATTCTGTGATACCTAGCGCACAATGGTACTTTGGAGGCCCTTCTATTCTAGAGGTCTTCATCTGATCAAAACTGGCCTGAACGACAAAAGTATGGTGGACCTGTCCTGTTTAATATTATGCAGTTTAAAAAGACCTTTGCACTCTTATCTGTTCTTTGACCCAAAATATTAAACGAGGCTTTGTCCCCTCTATAGCCCTATTAAAAGTAGCATATATCTTATTATTTGTATTATAATCAACTACTCCTCTGAGTCTGCCTTATCCTCTTTGGGCTTATGAACAATATCCAGTTATGGGTCGAACGCTTGGGCGAGTATAGGACCGTTCCCGCAGTACGCTACATGTTGAGTCAACAAAATTCACTAGAAGACTTAAACGTGTAAAAGCCCAAGGAGAGTACATCTTGGTTTTGATATCATGCATCTGCTAACTTTGCTCTGGTCATGGCGTAGAGTCTAGGGATGTCTCGCTTGGCGATAGCGTTAAGCACTGGAAGAAAGAATAATGCACTACCACACATATTGTATTTACATTATCTTTATAAAGCAGTGACGTGCTTGCAATCGAGTCTACACAGGAAAAGCACCACATTTAATGTGCATTCATCATAATACATTCATCATAATAGAGATTTATTTTTGTTGCTGTTCTCTGCAACACAATTGTAGTGAGAAAAATGCGATAATATTCAATATAAAGAATAACCAAAAGTAAAACAAATCAATCGCACCCACCACTTCACTTACTCATGAATATAGCTCCACTGTTGATATAGCAGTTATCCCAGTCGCGAAGGATAGTTAGAATACCCTCTCAAACTTTTTCAAACACCTGATCAAAGTACGTCAGTAAAATGTTTAATCTTATGGCCAATCTCCCAACACCCACTACACCTAGGTGGTGCCCTCCGTGCTAGCCTAATTGGTTAACTAGGAAATTCAACCTCCGTATGCGAATCCACCCCATTGCCTTCCACTGGCTGGTCTAGCTGCTCAACTAGCTATATAGCTTCTTGAATAGTTAAACCCTCTTCGTAGGGTATCTGCCTAGTTGACCGATTACGCTTTTTAGCTATCCTCTCATTGGCTATACGCAGATTTGCATTATCCTCTGCGAGTAGTGCAGTATTATGTAACGCTATTATATGGCCCTTGATCATCTGATCTAGAAGGATCTTTAATGGTGTAGGAGGGCCATTGGATCGTTGCTTTAGTAATTACTTAAGCAAAGATGCTTGCTTATACAATTGTACGATTGTTCTTAGTGTCTTTGGTGTAAATTGGCTAGATCTGGTATTTAGTCGGCTGCTTAGTGGTGACAGAGTGTGTAGAGAGATATTTAGCTTTAAAAGGATCTTCTCAGGATCTAATAGTACGAGACCACTAGCTACAAAGCTGTTTTTAATAGTAGGATTAGTTGATTAGAATATATCTAGCCGTGTGTGCTAGTAATCTACTAGAAAATCTTATTTATCAATATTTCATCAAAGTTATAGATATCCTCCGATTATATACCATTTTCATCAATAACACTTTGTACGGTCGCAAACCACTACCGAATCGATTTTGGATCTTCGTTTAGGGCTCTTTGGGAATCGTATCTTCGAGGAAAGCAAGATCGAAGCTCATCACGGCGTTGAATAAAGGACAATAGCCAATTCTTACCAACAGTAGACAGAGGGTGGTTGCCGCGCACAGCCAGTAAGATATTAGCCAATTCTCCCACAGTAGCCAGTCTCGGGGCATACACCGCGTAAACCCATAGAGAGTATCCATTCAGTAAGCGAATCCTCTTCTAATTGGGTCACTTCATAGCGAGATAGGCGAGAATCAACGCGTGCAAGTACACCTTTTGCGCGGTCGGCTAAGGTTGTGCAAGGTATTTCATATAGCTTTGCTGCCGCGCAGATAGATTAAACGCGGCCATTTTGAATATCATCAAGGGCCAATAGGATCTTGCCTTCCTGATAAGCTAATTTCTGCGAAGATTCAGAGCGAATTGGTGGCATGGTGGGTGGTTGAAGGTAGTGTATTGGTATCAAGACGCGATTTTCAATGGGGTGTACGGGACGACCGGGTGTACGGCACAACCGGGTATTACGTTATGATTGGGCCTTCTGACTCCGCTTGGCGTACTCCTTGTCACCAGTCAAACCGGATAGACGCGTCCATTCGAGGACCAGCGTTCCAGTCACAGCAAGGCCATTGGTTGTCGCACAATCGTTGCCTTTCGAAGTGATGTTGAGATTGTTGTATGGAACACCTGATGGAGTATTGAAAGCAAAATTGCGGGCATCGGCGACATTTCTGGACTGCTTGAGCAATCCGTCAATGAGGCTCTGGTCGTTGACCAGGTCCTTTGCGTGTCCCTGCAGCAAGTCGTAAGCCGAAAGCATACCTGCAAGGTAACAATTGGTAGTTTCGAAAAGGAACATATCAGTTGGAAGCATCCATTACCGTTTGCATGGCAAAGAAGCGAATATTTAACGGGCACCGGGCTTTCAAACCTGATTTCAAGTATTGTTTGCCTTTCCCACGGAAAAGATTTAGCTGTTGTAAAGAGCATTAGCTTTGTCATCAAGTCAGAATCTGGTAGAACAGGTAGTGGCGTTCGTAAGCATCAGACTTACCGTCTCTAAGGCACCGCATCTGTGAATCATCATTGGCTCGAGATGACTTTTACAGCCATAACATGCGCTGCAACTAGGCCTGCGGGAGCCGAATTGCTCTGGAATATTTTAAGTGAAGATTGTGTCCTTGTGAAAGGGCGGACCGCTGAAGCTCATTTTCCGATCTGCCTGCTTTCAATTCTAGAGAGCATGTATCTTCGATGCATAAAGACGACCAACGATTGACGCAAGGTCCAGTAAGACCAGCCAAGGGCTCAGAAGAAACAGAGAGAAAAATAGCCCTTGAAGGCTTGTCAACATACTTTTGTGCTTTTTGTGCGTGCAAGCATGATCTTATCGAAGAGTTCGGCCGTTATCTTTGTATTTGATGGGCAGACCTAGTAGTCTCGTTGAAGGAACCATAGGCAATGAGCAGATCTTGATCTCGGAAATATCGAGTAAGAATACTTCTCCCAGTTTATGAGTGAGGCTAACTGTTTCTGGCACTGATGGATAAAAGATTTTCAAGCAAGTTTTCCTAGTTATTTATCTGGCTTGAAGTACGTTAAACTGAATTCAACCCTTCTGCTCCCGCATGGTACTTATCTGCACGAGATTTGTATAGCATCAGACATTAGGCCTGCTATATCTTCGAGGTATGCATAATTCCCTAATTCAGTAACTTCTATCTATTAGCATACCGTACAGAATGGAAATTACCAAGCTATAATTATTTATGGATGTTGCTTTAATTCCGAACACCAAAAGTGCATAGAAGAAGAGCATTGTAAGCCAGCTTGAGACCTCCTCCAAGAGAAATTGCCAGACCTATTCCATTATATCCTCCCTTTTCATCCTGTCCTCCCAATATCCCAGTGACAAGAGGAGCAAAACTCCTCGATAGCGTCCTCACCACATTGACCCCACCCATGACAAGTGTGCGCTCCTCGGGCAATATCGCATGCGCCAAGAACGCCTGGCGCGGAGCTTGATCAAATTCGATAAAAATTGATCGAATCAAAAGACAAGTGACTGCACCGAATACGGTCGGTAGGAAAGGTAGCAAAAGAAGCGCAATCGAAGCTGGTACATGTCCAAGGACCATGGTGGCGATGAGCCCAACGTTGTTGGCGACGGGGATAGCGATGAGGTTTGAAACCGACGCCAGAAGATTGCTTGCGAAAAATATGGAGCCCAGAGATCCCAATTGCATGTCGTATTTCAGGGAAAAGAAGTAGGTCAACCAGCTATTGGACGCGAGTCCGGACCCGAAGCTGTCAAGGGAGATAATAAAGCAGAATTTTACCAGGAATTTCCTGGATTCCTTGCACAAAGTTGGGCAGAGGTGTGTTATCCAATTGTTGGAGTCGCGTGTGGGTTCAGGCTTTGGCAGAAGTGGTTGAGCCTCCGTGGCAATGGATGGGTCGCGCTCTGCATTTGTTGTACCACTTTCCGCTTTCAATTCACATGCTTTGCTCAGTACAACCGATAGAATGAACTTGACTACTCCCATCAGGGAATAAATGCAGAACATACACTGATACGCTTTCAGGGTAGATATTCCGCGATGCTCAAGCACTTGAATCATCCATCCAGTGCCCATCACTCCGGCGGCAGTACCCCAGGCGCCAAGCAGATAATACCAAGCGAGAACGGCATTGAAGTCGGCGGCTGTAACAAGTTGAGACATCATTGACTCTTCAATCGCTTTGAAAGGACCGATATCGCCCCCACTTTATTTTCATGTTAGTAAGTCTGGCTGCCCAGAGCGTTCAAATGTGTAAACGGGTATACGTACCTTGGGCTAATAACTCCAAAAATACTAGCTGCTACTAAGACCCAATAATTATCCGATATCGCAAAGATAACTCCACTGGAAGCCATGAGCAAAGATCCCAGTGCAATCATCCTCGCCCGTCCGATTCTGTCCGCAATTGCTGTTACCACCAAACTTAAAAAGACATCCCCAAGCAAGGTGAGAGTCATAAAAAGCCCGATCCTCTCTTCCGAAAACCCTAGCTCTGCAAGTTGAAGGGCTAAGATTAGCGACGAGATTCCAAATGCATAGAGGCGAACGAGACGCTGGAGGCACAGGAGCTTGACATCGATTGCTGTATTGACGAGCGCTCGAAATCCGATCGAAGGAGCCATTATTATCGTGTACGGTCGGTATGTTTTCTGTGTAGAGTCAAAGTTAGTCGTCATCATCATTCGGGTTAATATCGCCCATATTGAGAGGAAACTCACACAATACGTTAAGTGTGCTCTGTTGAAATTAGGTGAATCGACGTGAGAATTAGGTATCTGCACTTTTTTCCTTTGATTAGAAAAGTCTTTCCCTCTCCCCCTTGCCGCCAGGGCTGCCGCGCGGGATCCTGCGAGAGAACTGCGAAGTATCGGATAGAATCAAGGTTGCTGAACAAGAATACACTCGTCACTTCAAGTCGGGACAAGGCATTTCTTGGTTGCGATGGCAGAACTCGTTATTAGGGCATTGTTCGCGTTCATGACTAAGATCTCGGGTCGACGGCGCTTCGGGTGGTAAGGGCCGCAAACAAGGAATTCCAAATAATAGGGGTGACAGCCCGTGGAGCCACCAAAAGCACTAGTACAGTACATAGGATGTTGGAGCGCTAGTTCTCTGCTGATCTCAGTTCTCTTAATTCTGAAGAGATTCTAGACTGGTTGGCCTAATATCTGCAGGCTACATCATCCGATTATTGGTTCATTACCACTTTCAAGTCGGGGAGTGTTCTACATATGGGCTTCAGGATTCAGATTCTTTTGCTGGGATACTGTTCAGTGCTGTTGGAAACGAGATGTAGTAAATTGTGCCCAACCTTGAGCGCCCCTCAGGTGCGTCCCTGTTGCAGGCCCGGGGTCTGCATTTACGTTTTCTCTTTCTCCGGCACAAGAGTGTTTCCGGGCTTTATCGAAACTCACATACAACTCTCGTACGAGCTATTCTAGCCGTATCTTTGCGTGTGGGCCAGTTCAGCCGAGCGTATCGCTGGAGTATCAGACTTACTGTAGATTATGTACGAGCACGTTCTTATGTCCTTGAATAATCGATGTCGGCAACTTAATCGAAAACAGTATGGATACTGAAAATTTTTGCCTATCTATCCATATTCATTGGAATCTTACTTGGTTGCTGGTGAGGGAGGTGATAACAGAGAAAATATGTGTATGGATGAGAAACTGAGCTCAAAGGACCTAGATATAGCTGTGTGGACTGACTAAGCCTGTGCAACAGGACAAACGCTCTACAAATGCTCTCGGGATCTGGCATGCATGTCCCCAGCCTCAGTAGTTGCAATAATCACGGCGTGTACACTCCTAGCAACGTGCTCCAAATTGCTTGAGTTGAGACCCCTACCCATAAAAATAAGTCTTCTGGCTACCATCAAATGTAAATTAAGGAAACAGCGGACTTACGCAATAGATAATCTTCCGTTGTCTTGGAGATACACGTGATAATCCTCTCGAAGGATACGGATTTGCTCCCCAGTGAAACCGATATGCCTGAAACAGAACAATAGTTTGTAAGCGAATGCACACCATGTTGACCTTGAGATCGTAAGATAACAATAAAAGCAAATAAAATATAACTCACGAGAACATCCCATTCTGCAACGTGATATGACTCCATATCCCCGGAGTCTTCAGATCCACCAGTCTTTGTTGAAGCTGTTGCCTCCTGTATTTCAGCTGCTCAGCCATCTCCCGCAGTTCGCTCTGCCATAAGCTTCGCAATTCTGCGTCGGACAAAATCGTTTCGACGATCAACGATCCGAAATCCGGTTGAGCGCCGGTCTCCGCTCGTGCCAGAAACTTCATCTGCTTTTCGATGCGCTTGCCCACCGCTTCATCTGGAGCAACCACAAACAATGCACCCACCCGCTCACAGTATAGCCCAAAACATTTGCCATACGTTGTCGCGATGATCAAGGGAACTCCCATCTTATCGAATATTCGAACACTTTCAAGATCGATGTCGATATTTCCACTTGCGAATCCGGGGTAGGCTACATCAAACAGAACAAGGTGGCCTCGTTCGTGACATAGAGAGGCAATCTCATGCCATTGTTCGAGCGTGGGATCGCATCCTGTGGGGTTTTGGGCCGCGCTCTGCAAAACGAGAACTGATCCTTGGGGTATTGAACCGATAGCCGTTCGAAACGCAACATAGTCGAACATCTTGGATTGATTGTCCAGATAGGGGATCTGTGAAACTTTGATTCCAAGATATTCGAAAACATTAGGGTGATTACCTGGCCGGGAGAGATGAGATTAGTCTCATACAATACTTATGACCGATTCGACGGTTTCATACATACCCCAGGATTCTCGGGGGATGAAGACCCGCGCTTGACTTCCAGCTGTCCACGGGCCGTAGTGATCTTTCAAAAACTTCGCTGCCATATGACAAGCACCACTTGCGCCTAACGACTGCATGGAAATAATTCTGTCAATCGTTGAATAAAGTCAACATATGTTGAGGGACACTTGACTAAACAATGGATTCAAATGCTCCTATTGATTGATACAGATATAACGGACTTACCTATTCTCCTTTATCGAATGGCTATCCTCGCCAAAGAACAAGCGCGCACCAAAATTCCTGAACCTTTGGCTGCCAATATGTGTCCCGCGGTATTCGTGATGCCAGTTGGAGTTGCTAAATATCTTTGCTTTTGCCTATTTTGCATAGTCAGGAACATCTTTTTTTTGTTTTTACTTGGCACAGATAGAAGAACATCGTTAGTACTACCTGAGAGACAGAAGAAAGAACATGAGGGCCGCCATTATCGGACTTGAAAACACCAACCATGAGATTGGTTTTTTCTGGGGCGGTGTCACATCTAAACTGAGCACTTAAAGCATTCAAACTCTCTATCATGGACTTCTGTGAGAATCGATATCGCAACAATGCTCAGTAACAAACTAACCGAGCTGTATATCCGGTACATTTGCAAAAGGGTGCACCATCTTGAAGCGGGATATATGTGCAAGTAGACGAGATGACGTAGAAGAGGTTGTTTCTCAAAAGACAAAGATTCCTTTCCAGAAAGCTTTTTACCGAGGGTCCAAGAGGAAAGTATGTATTCAATTCGTCCAGAGAGACGGAAAAAAGGGAGAGAAAGAGAAAAAGAGACCAAAGCCATCAACGTGGTAAGAGGTCTGCTACGAAGTGACTGAGATCATCTCATATCTAATACCTGTCCCATAAGTACGCGGTAAATTTAATTTTTTTTTTTAAAAAAAATACCACCAGAACCATGCGTTGCTTCATGGAGATGCACGGCCTTTTTCAGCCCCGAAGGCTGTACCCTCTCCGGCTGCAGGCCCCACGCCCCCACTCATGCATTAGTGGTCAGATATAACAAAACAAGACAACAAGTTGGGCAGGCTATTTACATAACTTTGCTTTTATATACGCTGCAGTACAATCATCAAGGACTAATTTGGCTAGTGTCGAAATAGGGGGCCTAAAGTTTTTGTGGCTGGAGAGGTACCTAATTACAAAGACCCAAAGAACCACAGATCAGCGGGATCGGAGCCCGAGGGTGACGGCATTGTTCTTTTTGATTGAGATCAAGTGGATCCAACACGGCTCACATCGATCGATGGAGACCCCAGGCCAAGATGTATGTACATTTAGCCCGAGCTGAAAATTTCACTAGTGCAGGAGAGCTGTATTTATCACACTTGGCGTGGAAGTGTCCTTCCGTCTGTAATATTGATGAATCATCCCGTACGAAAAACCTTTGGTATTATTTCACCATCGGAGCCAGTTACGTATGTAGTAAGCACCTAAATAATTGGGTAAGCTAATGTGAAGGGAATATTGCACATCTCAACCTCGGGATTTTTGTAGTAAAGAATACCTTGTCCAAGGCAGCCTTTCCCATTCTACAGCATTTCTATCACTTTGAACCACGCTGCACAACCATCATGGCCGATAGAAAGCGCTATAATGCACTCAATCTCGCACAACCCACCAATTTCCGAGCAATGTTGTCCTCCGAGGGGTTGCTCTGGGGTACAGCCTGTCGGATACCCCATGAAGAGGCCGCGAGAATCGTTGCCACACTTCCACATCACTTTTGTTTCATCGATGCCGTAAGTTGCGCAGTGCGATTCATTTTTCTCTCAACCCATTTTTTGCTGTCGGTTGGTTAATCAGGAATATGACTTCCCCTGTTACAGGAGCATACTCCACTAAGTGCAACTCTCCTCGCAAGCATCGTGCGAATTATCAACCAATTCTCCAATGGCTCCATGGTGCCTGTCGTCCGGATTCCGGAAAAATCCACGGATCTCATAACCTACGCTCTCAATGCCGGAGCTGGTGCAATCATCATGCCACATGTGCAAAACGCCGGACAGGCTAAAAGATTGGTCCAGTTGACGAAGTTCCCTCCCGTTGGGATTCGAAGCTATCCGCCCTCGACATTGTTTGGCGATCAATTGCGAACGGAACCCGGAAAGACCGTGTTTGATGTGTGGGATAATCATACAGCTGTGTTTTGCCAAATCGAAGATGTGGAGGGCGTTGAGAATATTGAGGAAATTGCCAAAGTTCCCGGAGGTACGCTTTTTTTTCGCTTTTCCACTTTTCTAGTCTTCTTTGTGCAACTTGACTTACTCGCTATGAACTTTTAGTGGACGCCCTCATGGTCGGGGCTACCGATCTCAGGTTCTCCCTGGGCTTGCCGCGTGGCAGTCCTGATGGCGATGAGCCCGTGTTTTTGTCGGCGTTGAATAAAATCCAGCGCGCGGCGGACGCAAATGGACTGGCAGTGCTTGGTTTTGCAGCGACGCCAGATGTTCTAGAAAGAAGAATCAGACAGGGTTGGAAGGCCTTCGTCGGGATTGGAGATTCAGCATCGATCTTCAAAGCTGGGAGCCAGCAAGTGGAGGAGTACGAGAAATTGTCTAGGAGAATCCAGAACGAGACTAAGCTTTGATCTTGTGAAGCCACGTGAGTGCTTGATGTTTCAGGTTTCAGGCATCCGACACATTTTAATTAACTAGATCTTGAAGATACACTATTTCCTCCCTCAACCAACTGCATTTTCCTAAATTTCGGTTTTATCTGGTCTAAAGCCCTCAATATTTTGATATTGGTCTTTCTGTGTCTAAATTTTCTACGTTCGTCTCTGGGAAGGACAGATGGATGATGGCAAAAGAATAAAAAAATCATGTATGACGGCCTAGAGATTGGCTAAAGAGGGACATAACAATGACAAGTAGACCGGAAGCAGTATTATCTCTATAGTCTCGCCTTCCCTGCGTTATCAACCGAAACCTCACAAATTGGCGTTTTCTTTATGGTGTCTTTCCACACAGGTTGCTGAATAACACAGTTAAACCAGCGAGTGGTTGCAGGGTGTTCGAGACGCCATTTGGCATCGAAAACATTTTCGAAACCTCGACAAATAAGCGAGGCCATGAAAATATCCGCGAGTGTTAAACGCTCCGCCACCAGATACAAACGAGAGCCCAGGTGTTGTTCCAGCAGTTTAACTGCCCGCAATGTAGCAATTCTATTGTTTTTGATTTTCTCCTCGTCGTAAGGCGCTTTTCCCACGAGTGGTCGATACCAGTCTGCAATGGGAGGTGAAATCTCGCTATTGGCGTACGACATCCATTGAAGAATGAAAGTTTGTTCTTCGATGGATTCGCCAAGCCACTTCTCTTTGTTTAGTTGGGAAGCAACTGTATTCATGGGAAGATCAGAATGGAACTTGGCTCAAACAAATAAAGGAATTGGTTCGCCATACGATAAAAGGCAATGGCAATGGCTTCCTTGATAACCACACCATCACGAGTAATGAAAGTTGGGATTTTGGCGAGATGATTTAGCTTCAGATACTCTGAATTTTTTGTCCGTGGCTGGGTCACAGCCAGTTCGATATCGAGGTTGTTTGCTTTCGCAATGACTAACTGGACGTTTGTACGAACATTGCCCTGTCAATTTCAGTTAATTTTCATGCATGATGAGCTGTAGCTTGCAAATACATGCCTCAAAGCCAAAGAGCTTGCCGAATGACATAGTTCTGTTGTAGTGTGGATAATGTGGCCTTTGGCAAGGGATGTTCTGGGGGTCTGGTGCCGAGGAGGATTGAGAAGAGTTAGACATCAAACACTTCGAAAACCCCAACACTATCTTTCTTGATACAAAAAGGGCATCGTAATTACAATACCAAGATCGTCTAGAGACACAACGCTATTGTTGGAACCGAAAAAAAACATGGTACTAATACCACCCTTCGATCTAATTAAAGTGGGGACTCTCATGTAGAAATCATGCGAATGAATCTCACAGCTCGACCCCTGTCATATGCGGCAAGAATAGGCGAACTTAGCTTTCAACAAATTTTATTCGGGACATCATTGATGTTTATAACGTATACAAAAAATTGGAGCACGAAGCAGTACATCCACCATCCTACTGGTTCCCATACTCGCCTCCAATCTTCAATCGACCTAGCTGAGAGTAGATTCACAGTACGACTTAATTCAATTGGCATCGCTATTCTAACGCACTGCGGCCACGCTTTCAAGTTTGTTTGTTGGCTGCCGGCAAGCAAAGCCATCAACTTCTCTTGTTAACGAAAAAGCAGATGAGAATGTGGCCAGTCCAAGCATAGTTAGAAAATTCTATGTTTACTCAAAAGGCTTCTCGGCCTCGGGTGTGATTCTGCACAATGTATGTCAGACCTCTAATTTCACCTCAAACTTCGAAGTTAATTCTTTCGGATGGACTTACCTTGCAATGTGTCGTCGTCGGCCGTCTTCCCAATCCATCAAAGCAGAGTGATTCGTGAGCCGATTCTGTATGGAAAAAGCGAGATTAGCATATCCGTCTTTTTAAAGAGACAAGGGAATGATGATTTGCTTACATCCCAAACTACAACATCCCCCGCCTTCCAACGAACTCGACACTGCATATCCTGACTATAAGCCAGATGGTCGTAAAGATATTTTAGCAGATAGTCGCTTTCTTCTTTTTTCAATTCCACGATATATCTCGTGAATTGCGGGTTGACAAAAAGGCATTTCTCCCCCGTAACCGGATGCGTCCTCACAACAGGATGAATGGAGGTGATCGGCTCGCGTCGTACATATCCACCACTATTGAGCGCCTTTGCCGTTTGATCGTGCGCTGTGTGCAAGGCTGTGAGTCCATGAAGACGTTGTTGAAATGCAGGGCTCAAGCGACGATAGGCCGCTGCGGTGTTGACGAAGATGGTATCGCCGCCTTCTTCGGGAACTTCTAGCGCGTACAAGAAGGTAGTGCCCGGAGGTTGACGCTCATACGTATTATCGCAATGCCATGCCAGTGAGTGGGTATGGGATCTGAAGTGATCCTGGGATATCGTATTTCCGGCGCGACGATGGACAATGTGGATTTCTGGATGTCCCGCTGGGTAACCAGAGTGCGGATGGTGCATAAGTCGACCAAAGTATCCTGCAAAATCGACTGCTTCACTGATGGGAATTTTGGCAAAATCCTGGTCATGGAAGACTATATAGATCGAAGTTTACTCAGTCAGATGTATACAGCAAAGAGGGGGGACCAAGTTATATTCAAGCATGTTCAAGTTATGCATACCGAGAACTTTTTTCTGGGCAGCTAACAAAGCCAGTTGATCTTTTGCTTTGTCATTGAGCTGGCTTAGCTGTACCCCGGATATCTCTGCTCCAATTGACGCAGTCAGGTGAGTTAACTTGCTGTCCTGGGGCAATAGATCAGGGAAGGTTGGATCTGCGTCTTTTCCGTGTTCGACATGGTCGAAGGGCTCAAGAGGCGCGTGTCTTTAACTGGATGGTTAATTTGTCGTCCTCTATGCAGAGTACTCAAGTGAATTCACTTACTTATTTGGAGGTATTTCCCAGATGGGTAGATAATTTGGAAACTGAGCGGGAGGGAAGTCCTCTGTCCCATTGAGTTCAGACTCAGGAACTTCAGTCATCGGTTTACGATTGACAGGCGGTCCAAGGCTCAACGGAGCTCCGGTATTCGACATTTTGTTGCAACTTGCTGATGAGATATACTGTGGGGATTGAAAAGCAAGAAGGGGAAATAAAACCAGTTCAGAGTCAAAGCCAGGGGCCCTTTACAGAACAGCTTGTGTCGTGATTCAGAGGAATCGGTGAAGAGTTCGCCTCAGCCCCGATTACTATGATACACCTCTCCGTACTGGGCTTAAAATGTCCCGTATGTGCCGATCGTGTGTGGTGGCGTAACTGAGCCGAGCTGAAGAAAACCAATAGATCCACCTGTATTAATCTAAAAAATAATTTCCTGCAGATTACTTCTTAGTTAGGGCTAGTATAGTACATAACTCAGGACCTCGGGATAAAACATGTGGGGCTTCCGAGCTACACGGTCCACGGGTTCCAACAACAATATTTTCCTCTACACTTGTCCCCCGCTGATTACTATACCGCTTCCTAATTTACAGTGGGGGCCAAAAAGTAGCAAGCATGAATACATGTAAGAAAAACAAGTAACTAACCAGTTATGTATGTGGCTATATACCTGGTAGTTTTTAACGAACCTTCTTTATAAGCAACTACACTGGTTTGGCAAAGCGGTTCGCCATATATAGATTTTCTTGTTACTATGAATGAGTCCCAGATTTGGCCATCCTTGGTAACTTATCGGTCATATTTACATTGATACACTGCCTACTTCGTACTCTTTATAGGAAGGCGAAGACCAAAACGGTCAACAAAGGGGTCTAAGACTTTTGCTGTGCCACTGTATGTATGGTCAGTCAACCAATTCAAGTTCATACGAGAAACCCACCAAAAATATTATAGAGCTTCAATTGTCGGTGTGACTGCGGGATCCACAGTACCGAGCCGCTCGATCCCCGATATTCACTACGTACCTCCCTGAATAGGTAGGATTGTCTAAAATGATCGATCTCATCCCGAGATCCAGCTAGAGTGCCTCCACCCAGTGATGCCTCCACCCGAGATATACTTTGCCGAGATGATGATCACTTGGGCATTTTGGCCGAGGACACGAACAGTGGGGTCATTTACTTTTTGCCTTCAAGTACCCCAATCCATTAGGTTTATGGTACCTCCTCGCAATTACCTGGGCAGTACTGTATGTAGGTAGTATGGAGTATGTAAAAGTGAACAGGGCTATCAAAATATGCACGTTCCATACAAGACCCGCTGGTAATTCTCCAAGAAACACTCTTTGGTCAGATCCTCAACTATTTTTATTTACTGCTAACTGTCATTGTTATGAGATATACCTCCAATTCCGCCCTACCTAGTCGCAAGGTTCTTGTTGTATTCTTTTCAAGGTTGAAATTTCAACCTCCGATATAGCGCTTGCCCACTGATAAATCGAGTAAGATTTTTTGACTCTCTTCATTGCTGCAGATCTCCGGGTCGAACTGACCTCTTCCTTCAGGACCCTCGAAAACATCACCATGTCCCTTACTACTCCCCCTCTTGGATACCCCGTACCGAACGCCCGACATGCCGTCTCTGTACAGCTTCCCACTTGGTCCGACATGTGTGGGTTTGCCGCTGGTGACCCCCAAGTGAAATCGGTACAAAGAACTGGGTATCCACGGTCATTTTTACACAAGGATATTGAAGAGGTAATTACCACTAGCCTCGCAGAGCAAGAAAAGATTTTTTCACAAATATAACCGCGGATGTATTTTATAGGTGTCCAATGCGATTCTCAGACACTTCCACTCAAATGAATCGGTCCTTGTCTATCTCAGTGCAGCATCAGCATCAGCATGTAAGGCTGCAATGGAGAAGAATGGTGACAATGCCGCCACATCTCAAATTGTCATCCGTGTGATGGAGGCCAATATAGACAGCGTCGACCGCGGTGAGCTGTCAGGCTCGCTTGTTTATCTCTATGCGGTATTTTTCCCAAAGAGCCTCTTGCCCCAGGCACTGACATTCTGGAGATTGACGGGTCTCGGTATCTCGTCGAGACTGGCAGAGGCATGTCTGAAGTATCTCGGGAGTATCCGTGAAGCGTGGATGCCTGAAACAATGACAGCCCAGCTCGCACCGACAAGTTCCGGTGCATTTGGCCGTGATCGAGTGTGCACGAGAGTTGTGGAACTCCTCCAGCGAGCTTCCCTCAACCCGCCAGCAGTGGCAGGTCTCAAAACGGACGATGTCTTTCTCTACCAGACGGGAATGGCTGCTATATACCATGTGCATCAGCTACTTCTAGATTGGCGGGGAGGAGAAAGCGTGGTGTTTGGATTCCCTTATGAATTAACACTGAAGCTGCTAGAGGAGTATGGACCGCGCACTCGGTTCTACGGCTTCGGCACGGAAGAAGAGCTCGATGATTTAGAGGCTTATCTGGCCCTAGAGGCTAAGGAAAACAGAAAAGTTCAGGCTGTGTGGTGCGAATGCCCATCCAATCCGTTATTGAGAACACCCAACTTCGCCCGTCTGAGGCGGTTGGCAGATCAATATGGGTTTGTCATCGTGGTTGATGAGACAATCGGCAGCTTCGCCAATGTTGATATGTTTGGAGTGGCTGATATAATCGTCACGTCACTTACGAAAAGCTTCAATGGATTTGCAGATGTCATGGCTGGGAGTATCGTTCTCAACCCTTCAAAGCCACATTATCAAGATCTCCAAAAGCTCATGTCTCTGAACTATGCCTCCGAGGTCTACGATGGAGATATTGCCCAGCTCGAGTTGAACAGTCGAAGTTTCCTCGCGCGTGTTACTGAAATCAACACCTCCGCTTCGTCGCTCGTTGATCACCTTTACGCCCAGTCAAAAGCTCCCAACAGCACCATTACCGCGGTCTATTATCCTACGGTCTGCTGGAGTACGGAGAACTACCGCGCACAAATGCGGCACCCAACGCCTGAATTTACTCCTGGATATGGAGGGCTTTTTACCCTCGAATTTGACACTGTGGCAGCCTCAGAGGCGTTCTTTGATGCGTTGAATGTTCATAAAGGTCCATCGTTGGGGGCACAAGTGACTCTCGCTCAACCTTACGTCCAGACTGTCTTCCGCAACGAGAAACCCTGGGCGGCCAAGTACGGACTAAGGGAGACGATTGTTCGGATTTCTGTTGGGTTGGAGCCTCAGGACGAGCTGTTGAAAGCATTCCAAGTGGCGGTTCACGAAGCTGATAAAACCAAACTCTCCTCTCCTCGCTCGCACCTGTGAACTTGCACCGTCTTTATTCATGAATCCTCACTTTTCTTTTTGGAATTCACCTCTTGACAATCTATTTTTCTAATGGGTGTAGTTTTTCCCTTACAAATATTCTGAGAAAGGAAACCCGGTCAAGTATATAGAAACACTAGTTACAATTAGACCTGTGCATGGGAGTCCCATGGGAGTAAAAATCGAATCCTATCCCATTTGCCAAGATCCCATGGGACTAATTATCAATCCTATCCCATCCCATGGGACCTGCCAAGACTCCTTGAATAATTATTTTCAAATAAAATTAGTATTAATTAAAAGAGAATAAGTTAATTGAAAATTAATATAAATTTAAGTAAAATATACATTAGAGTGGTGGTGTAGGAACTTACTACGCAGATATTTATTTTGACAAAGGTTATATAAAATATCAAAAATTGCCTTCTTAGGTTAGATCAAAGATATACCCTAGCCATATATAGTTAGCGTATTTTCTATGGGAGTCCCATGGGACCCATGGGAATGGGACTCCCATGCACTTGTATAGTTACAATCTTAAGAAAATATCAATCCAAAACTTACATCTAAATGAAGCTTTCATCCTCGTAACACTGCGCTGGCGACGATGCAACGCACCGAGTCCATCCGCGATATACGGTCGCGAACGTTTCATGGTAGTCAATCACATATTTCTGTCGGTCAATCGAGCTTTCCGGGCCCCGTTGGTTTTGGTCTTGAAGATCCATTTGCAGCCAATCACACGATCTCCGGCTGGTAGGTCCTCTCGCAGAACCTTTTATGATGTTCTGTGCTCGAGAAGAGATGCATATTCTTTCTGAATGGCGGCCCACTATTCCAGTTGACGCCGTAATGCCCAGCCGAACTTAAACCCAACGCCAAAACAATGCAAAATGAAAAGGAAATAACGCTTAAGGGCGCCCGAAGATGAAATTCAGATCAAATAAGATCGTCAATCGTTAAGAAATAGATTGAAATATGACAACGACCCCCAGAGGAGAAAAAAGAAAAGGAAAAAGGAAACCTAACCACCCACGCTACCGCGCCAGAAAAGGCGAGCCCGAGGGATATGAAAAATGACAAGGCGAGATAACCACTCTTTCTGCTCGTTGAAGATTCACTCAGAAGAGAGACTCTCTTCAGCAAAGCGATCGTGCAAAGTCGCCATGAGAGGCGGCTTGGACCAGAAAAACCAAACCCCCTGATCGGTCCAGTTTCCCTGCTCGATTTCGGGGCACAGTTTGATATCGAAGTGCCACAGTAACTTGCAGAGAATGAGTCTGATTTGTGCATAAGCGAGGCTAATCAAAGTTGGAATGATGTCAGTAAGGTTCTTGTCAGTTCAGGAAAGGGAAAGAAGAGCGTATTACATACCTTTTGCCAATGCACGCGCGTGGTCCGTAGCTGAATGGCTGCAAAACATCTTTGCTATCCCCGTTGAAACGGGCGTCGCTTCCGAGCCAGCGGTCTGGGATGAATTCGTCGGGTAAGGCAAAATTCGAAGATGACCAGTACGATGCATAGTGGTGGAATGCGACCTTGGTCTGGGAAGGAAATTAGCATTATAAAATGACTCAAGTCAAGCATAGGTATATTATACTTACTCCTTCTGGCACATAATGGCCATCAACAAGCGCCCCGCCCTTTGGAACAAGGCGACATAGGCTCGTTACCAGAGGTGGGTACATACGTAGTCCCTCTTCAATGACGGCAGAGAGATACTTCAGTGTGGCGATGGTCCGGAATGTCATCTCTGTCTCATTCTCGAAGGAAGAGCGAATCTCGTTGACGAGCCTGGCCAGAGTCTGTGGATTCATGCATAGATAATAGATGCAACCGGTCACGCATGTAGCCGAGGTCTCGCTGCCTGCGATGATGAGACTGGATAAGTATCAAGCAAATTAGTACGTTTCTTTCAGTTGTTAACAAGGTATTCCGCTTGCTTACATGAATGCATTCGAGTGAATTTCCGCTCGACTCATGATTTTCTCCCCATCACAGTACTGGCCCTTCTTCTCGCTCAGGCCATTCTTTAGAATAGCAGAAATGAAATCGGGTCTCGAGATGTTAGCTTCCAACCGACGATCCACTTTCTCGGCAGTCAGATTGAAGTGATCTTCCGCCTGCTTTGTGTACTTCGACGGAGTCAATGCATCCAGAATTGTCTTGAGGGAGGGGAACTGCGCCGCAATTCCGACGACAGAAAGAGCCTTGATTGAGTTGGCGAGTAGATCGATCCACGGATGCAGCCGAGTATCCTTCAGACAATCAAATGACTCGCCAAACATCAGGTCTCCCGTGATATCAAAGGTCGTGTAGTTTATCCAGTCCCGGAGATCGACGGGGCGTTGCTGCGATGAGGTTTCGCCCTCTACATCGACCTTTTCCCGCAACATGCAGATAAGGGTATCAACATAGCCCTGAATAAGACATTCCTGGTCTCGAAGCGCTCTTTCCGTAAATGCAGGCGCAAGAAGGCGTCTTTGCCGAGCGTGCACACTATGGTCGGGTGTGCTCACGATATGGTGTGCGCCATTCGGCGGCGTGAAGTAATGGGACGGGTCCTTTTCAAAACAGCCGCCTGGTCTTTGGCCGTAGATATCATGAATAGACCGCGCAGTACCAAAGGCGAGCTCGTCAGGACTAATCCGGACGACGGGGCCATACTTCTGAAACATCTGGTGGACGTCTAGATGGTGCTTGCCCCGGATGACGGAGATCTGCAGGGGAGGCGGGTGATGGCCCAGAGCTTTGGGCCCGGGAAGTCACTGAGTGGGGACCAGTAGAGCTCGTAGAGAATGGAGAAAGCAACTGTGAGGCCAATCTAGAAGCGTGTGCGATGACTGGGTCAGTATGCGATGATACGGTAAAACCAGAGTGTTGGGATGCAGGGGGGGCCACTCGGAAGGTGTAAGAGGCTTAATTGGGGTTGGGCAAGATGGATGTAGGGTCCTGCAGCTGCAATGGAATGGGGGTGTACGAGGAGCACAACTTACCAGGACTCCTGCAGACACGCTCCAGATGGGGAAAGTTGACGTTTCCCAGGATAAAAACATCATGAAGTATGATTGCAGAGTCGAGAGGAGGCCACTCGTGATGCTGGACTGCTCGTCCATGGAGTATTTACTCCCTGGTGGTCATTCGTCTGGGACGTGGATGAGGCCTCAGACCCTGTTTCTTGGTTGCGAGACTGGAAGGTAATTGGATATGAGACTGTGGTAGCCGAAGTAACACGGAGATATGTCAGTTGGAATGAAAATGTTCGGAAAGTAGCAGTGGTAGTAGGAGTGACAGAGAAGTGGTGAGAAGAGGGAGAGTGGTAGAAGAGGAAAACAAAGGAAGGAGGAGGAGCGACTGCCTGGTGAGAGACAACTTCCCACCTCTTCCCACCTCTCCCCTCATTTCTTCTATCTTACTATCTCGTGATATTACTAGTTCTTCCCTCATCCTCCTCCTCCTCCTCTTCTTCTTTGAATCTGATTCTACTGTCTCATCTCCACCCATTACATCCCATCTCATTCCTCGCCATCCCCTCAACATCCAATGAATACTCCGAGGTTCAGCCCAATTACCGACTCACCTAGTCCTCTTAGGGAAACCATGGCTTCCGACCATACACAATATGCAAATTGCAATATGTATGCACCTGGGGATTCCTCAAATCTCTCCGTACCCCACAAGGAACACCTGGGTTTGATGATTTGACCAACCAAGCACCCGTGTAAATAGGGCCAAAGAATACGACTCAACCGCCATGAGCAATGAGCAAAGATTATACCGACCGATCTGTTTCTGGATAGGATCATCGTGCCAGGCACTAGAGGGAACCTTATCCGAGCACCGGGTGAAACAAAAGGTCAGTCGATAGCAAGAAAGCAAACAGACACAGAACGGAAAAGGGTAAAAGGTAAAAAGAAAAGAAAGCAAAAAGAAAGAAAAGAAGAAAGCGTAGGCCATCCGGACGAATCGGATCACCCACACTGGTCGTACCTTGTACACCTCATCCCGTACATCTTCAAAACCCGCTTCGATCAGCCGCTGCCGGTGTCCCTCGGCGATATTCATGGGCCGGTGAAACGCCTCGCTGGCCGCATGTAGCTGACCGAGGTATTCGCGCAACGTCGGCGCAAGATGCAGCTCCTCGTCATCGTCCGACTTGAGCGTCACTTCGAATTCCTGTAATTCGACCCAACCCCCAGGACGCAGATGCTCGTGAGCCTGGCGAAGCAACCGAGGCCAGTCGGCGATTGCGCCGCCCAAATCGCGGACGTGGATGAAGTCGAAGGGCCGGCTAGTGCTGAATAGCCAGGGTGATTCGGCGTCGTCGACGATGAATCGTAGATTGGGCGGGACCCAGGATGGTTGGATGGGGCTGAGGTCTGTGCCGACTACTTCGGTTCCTGGGTAGCTGTCTGCGAAGTCGATGGCCCAGATTCCGGTTCCGGTGCCGATGTCTAGGACTCGTTGTATGTTTTTGCTCATCGGGGCGCGGAAGAGGGCGCCGTTTAATACGAGGTTGCGGACGTGGTGAAGGAGGTCTTGTCTGTCTTGTTCGGGTTCGTCGTTGGGGAGGACGTAATGGCCTTCGCGGTAGGAGTGATATCTTCGGCCATTCTCATAGCAGTAGTCTTTCACGTCTGATAGGAGTGAGGCTGTATGGCTGGAGGTATCGGAATGATAATCTTCATCGAAGACTGAGCTATTCTCCCCGTTCGTTGATGCTGCCGAAGATGTATACTCGGGGTCATCTGTATCAACTTCATTTGGCACCAGGTCTGACTGTAGCCCAGGCACTGGTTGATAGGAGGGGATCTGGTGGAATTCTGAGTGAAGTGTTGTGCTAGCTGGTGTTGATTCTATTGTTGAAATGGGCTCTGCTGGTGATCCCATCCATGCATTATCCTCTGCCGAATATACCGTAGTCGACGAATCCGAAGCAACTTGGTGCAATAATAGCGGCGTAGAGTTGGTAGTCGCTTTCCTTTCTCCAACACTATCATTCTCGTATACCATTTCTTCTGGAATTGGGTCCAATTGGGAGAAATTGGCATTCTGTTCAGGGTGAATGTGAATGTTCCCAGATATCGGCATAGGTTCAACGCTGACACTCAACTGGGGTAAAAGAACAAGTTCAGGTACCACACTCGGAGACTCAGCTAAACCAGACCAGCAACGCGAACCCCCCAAAGAACCTTGCAATAACAAGGACTCTCCATCATCGACAACGGCACCACCTTCAAGTTCACCTTCCGACACCTGCAAAGGCTGAAGTAGCAAGGGCGATGGCGAAGAACAAACTTCTTTCGGACGTGGTTCAACGCCTATACAACGATCACAACGTGACTCCGGCTCCGTCTTCGGCCCCGATGACAGCGACAACGACAGCGAGTCGCCATCGAGTGAGGTAGATGTAGCAACATGTAAGAAATCCTCAACAGCCATGTCGTCCGTGCCCATCTTGGAGTCGAAATGAGCAGTGTCAGGATGCATGGCGGAAATATTCACGAGCACAGGAACTTGTCATTTCTGCAAGACAGGATGGAAAGAGGGGGGTGAACGAATGCGAGGGCCGGTTGTCCTGTGCCTCTTTACCCCCAGGTCTCACAGTAACGTTCAAGTTTCTCTTGTGTAGTGCAGAGCGGCCTAACGCAATTGGTGTAGCAATTCGATTCGGCAATTGGGAGGAGGGGAGCTGTCAGTTCCAACTCCGTTTTATTGAATTGGGCCTTTCAGAGGTAGTTGTATTCGGCTGTTAGCTGTCTTTTTTCTCTTTTTTTTTCTTGTTGAAAAAAAAAGCTTATCGATACTGTGTTTTATGAATCCACTTGGTAAGATTATGATGACCGAAAGGTATTGTGCCGACAAAACGAAGTTCAAACAAAGGTAAATTTCTAATTCAAATCCGGATGGAGTGAAGATGATTCTCAGGCCCTGTATTTCTAGCTTTTCCTCGTAAATGCCTGGGTATTAAGATAATTCAAAACACGCGGCGCAACAGAAGAGAAAAGAAAATATTGGAACGAATCAAGACCCCACCCGGACCGGATAAAGAAAGTGAACACTAGAGGGCTATGGTATGGAGACAGTTCATAGAAGAATCCCCCCCAAGCCAAAAACGTTCTTTGTCACGCGTGGGGCTTTCTTGGGCGTCCATTCAATGGGGTTGGGTTTAGGGTGTTACAGGGATGAAAAAAAATGCCCCGAATTGAACTTATGACCGACGAAAATCACGCCGAGGACTGCGGTTTTCATTGTCCGTGTGATCGTAGATTCCGGCAATTTGATTCATAGCAGAGCTAGCTAGCTAGCTAGCCAGCCAGCCATAGCTCTAATTCGATTCTCGCTCCGTCGTGTTCCGTATGCCGTGGAATGAATCACGCTTTCTTTGTTCTGGGTCGAGCGAGGGTTGTTATTTGCCCATTGTGGAATTTCAGGGGTGCTGAGATGCGTAACCTAATCATCTGAGACTAGACTCATTGAAGTAACTGGACGGTTCTTTGATAGGGTTGGCGTCGGCGTTGGGTGACAAGACAGTGTTCAAGTTGTGGGGGTCGACCGTTGCGTTCGGGGCGTGCAGATCATATCGGATCGGATTGTGTTGTTTACCTAGGTAGGTTTAGGTTTGGTTTGTAGAGCTACCATACCACGCAGCGTGTATTACTGTCTGTGAGCAAAAATATCTAGGTTAAATTTTATTCTTCTACTACAATGTTCGGAATCCGTTCATTTCGGGTATTATTCATGCCTCATTTCACTCATTCACGTATAGTTCTCACTCGAAGAGACCTGGCTTAGCTATCTAACCAACGAGTCCATCACCTCGACGGTAACCGCCCGGTCCTCTTCTTGCGCTTGAGTGTGACTGCCGTGGGCCTTGTTCGGCGTCACCGGCTTGAATTTCCAGTCCAGCATGCAGGACAGCAGCACGGACGATTCGCAGGTGCGCTTCCTTGTTGAAACTGCTCAAGCTGTCCAGAGTTTTTGTCTGGACCTCGGTTCGCAGATCTGTCTGGTTGGAAACTAGAAGACCTTTCTCGAGATCAATCCGGGTATCCAGTACACCTTCCTTGATCAGACGGATGAGTTCTTGTACGAAGGGTGAGCTCAATTCGGTGGGTCGGGCCTCGCCTCCAACCACGTCCGGAGCGAAGATAGCTGCCATCGAGTCGAGCGTCACGCGACTAAATGGAACCAGATACTGCTGGATAGCCTTAGTGCGGATCTGGGTGTAAAGCGCTGGGACGTGGCGCTGGAGGTTGATATCGAGGAGATAGTCGGTGCGGTAATTCTCCAGAATATCGAGACAAGGGCGGAACTTTGAATTGCAGAAGAACGCAACGGCTCGACGAATATGAGGCTCTAGTTCGAGGAAGTTTCGAAATGATGGATTATCCAACACCTGTTTCTGAAGTTCTTGACGGTCCATGGAGGCTAGGGCGCATAGACCTCCGTAAACGGCAATGTCATTTGGCGTAATAATCTCGCTGAATGAATCGCTCAGAGAGGAGTCCACAGCGAGGAAGCTCGTGGCTGCATCGCGGAAGGACTTTGCATGCATCTGCGATAAGCCCAGGGCAGCCAGTATCTTAGGTTGGTTTTTCAGGAGATCTTCTGGTTTCGATTGAGAGTTGCGGAGTCGGTGGACATTGGATTGCACCCCCATCCAGTCTCCGCGTTCGGCGGATACGTTAATCATCTTGAATAGCATGGAGGCGATGTGGTTTGGTGTTGTGCAATAGTCCCTCATCCGTGAGTATGCCTTCGATGCGGCGACAAGGTCTCCCGTTTCATAGTAGTGGTTGCCCAAGTCCTCGTTTCCCATCTAGTGAATATGGTCAGTCATGCCGATACTCGTAGCCCAAGGCAGGATTTCCATACCCGGATGCTTTCCTTAATCAAATTATTCTTATAACCCCGCAGCTCATGTTCCAAGCGTTCGCTCTGGGCTCTGACCGAGCGCTGGATATCCGAGACCCAAACAGAGTCGAGGGTGGCATCTTGCTCAGCCGGGGTTACCTCCGCCAGAGCACGAACTGCTTTTTCATATCGTCCAACATCCTTCCCAGATTTGGCCTCTGCGACAGCGGACTTGAGAGCATCGACGGCAAGGACAGTAGAGGTGTTTCCGATAAGGTAGAGGCGGTTAAATCGAGTCCGACCTATCCCACAGCATTAGAAATGACCTAGTGAGCCCGTAATTCTCCAATAACATACCTGTGTAGTTGGCAATGTATGAATCGAGGTCCAACTTGGGGGGATCTGCCAGGAATTAGCTCTCGGTCCAGCTGCAATGAATTTGGGGTAGGTGCCAGCGGGGGAGCGGTGGGGGAGTAGCCCCGCGTGAGGATCAACGCACCATCCACTTTTACAGGCTTTGTAGAAAGAGACTCTCCGAGCGGGCCAGTGCCTGAGCCCAAATTTGGAGGCGCAGCTGAGGAGCCCATCTGGGCCGGAGCAAAGGCATCTGGCATGGTATCCATCCTACACAGCCAGGCTTCCTGGTGGGGGCTCAATGGGTCAAGAAAGCCGGGGGTGCTGTCAAACGCGAAAACTGGTCGGATCGAGTTATGGAGCAGTTAGAAGAGGGTCACAAATAATAGGTGAAAGAGTTGTGACAGGAGGTGAGCTTGCGTGAAATCAAATGGATTGTTGTCGTGCATCTGGGAGGCTGTAGCAAGGCAGAATCCCACCGCTCACCACACCGCTTGTAGAATCAATATTGCTGCCTTAGTGCCTGCATGCCTTACTGCCTGAGGTGTCCGGGGTAACCTCCGAGGTGCGACTGGGCCGAGGATGATGTGAGTAATCACTTAATTCAAATCATCCATCTGAGCCGGGGAATCTCCAGCATGGATACCAACTTCTTTCAGACCCAGAATTAATTGATTCTATAATCTCGGCTTCAGCATAGCTTTTGCCGACAACTCATATAAATAAAAGCCAGGCTAGTACATGCCCAGGCTATCACGATCACGATATCTACTCCGCATCTTGAATATCAAAGTACTGTGACTGTCACGCAAAACGGATCTCTCTCAAGCTTCCAAGATTGGAACAACTCCGCTCAATATGCCCTCTTCTCAACAACCTGTAGCCCTCATCATGGGCGCCTCTCGAGGCATCGGCCGACAAGTCGCCATCGACCTATCCAAGAACGGCTACGCCATAATGCTAGCCGCAAAAACTACCTCAGACGCCAGCAAAACAACCCCATTCCCACCAGACCCAAACTCATCATCCTCAACCATCAACACAGTCGAGCGCGAAATCCGCGAAGCCGGCGGACAAGCCGGATCCATCGCCGTCGACGTACGAGACGCAGCGCAAATTCAAAATGCCATTGACGAAACAGTCCGTCGCTTCGGAGCACTGGACGTCCTGGTCTACAACTCCGGGGCGATCTGGTGGTCGTCTGTGGAGAATACGCCTCTGAAGCGATTCCGCTTGATGCAGCAGATTAATCCCGAGGGCCTTTATGCGACGGTTCAGGCTGCTTTGCCTCATTTTGAGAGGAATGGGTGGAAGGGCCGGATTGTGGTTGTTTCGCCGCCGATTTATTCGCGCTTTTTTAGGGGGAAGACGGCTTATGCTATGGGTGTGTATATCATATCTTAATTACCCGCCTCCCATGGCTGCCTCCTTTCAGTCCTGGCTGTATTTTCAGTTCTGGCTGTTTTGAGTGCAAATATGGCTTCTTTATGGATTGGTGCTAATATGTTGCTCTTTAGGCAAGGTTGGAATGAGCGTGTTGGTTAAAGGCCTTGCTATGGACTTTGTTCGTCAGGACCGTAATCAGATGGCGATTACGAGTATCTGGCCTGCGTCGGTATGTCTTTTTAACCAAATTTTAGCTGGATATTGCGGTACTAACTTCTCCAGTCTATTGAATCAGCAGCAACAGAGCACAACAAATCATCTGATAAGTCCTATAAGAAAGACCTTAGAAAACCGGTACGTGTACACCAATCAGTTATGCGAGGAGCTCTGCTGACATCAAGTAGACAATTTTCTCAGACGCAGTTGTTGAGATGCTTCGTGCGCCAGCAAATATCGTGAACGGACTTCTGGACACAGATGAAGACTTCCTCCGCGAGAAATGCGGTGTAACAGACTTCTCGAAGTATAGCATTGTCCCCGGCTCGACGCCGCGCCGAATCATGCCTGAAAAGTTCCCCGTGTTGGAAGTTGCAGAGCAGGATGATGAGGGGCAGCGAATGGACAGTGCGAAGATCCGGGCTAGTAAGATCTAGTGACTGGTCTTGGGGGTGTTTCTTTACTGGGAGATGGGGGTTGTCTTTAGACTTGCAATATGGACTGAGTGGTCTGAGCTCGAGCGAGCTGAACTGAGCCGAGTCTTTCAATGAGGGTACATCTAGGACAGAAACTCTGTGTAACGGATGGATTCCGGTTGGTGCAGTTAAATTGAAAATATTCAATTGAAGATGAAGTCATCAGTGCCATTCAGATTAATGCAAAAGAAGCAGACGCTCATGCTGATGCAATAGTAAAGATAGGGAAATAAGAATATGGAAAAGGAAGCAGAAAAAAGAGACAATCAAGCCGACCGAGAAAAATAAAACAAGGCTCGAATCATCGACCGCTCAATCTTCCGGACAAATTAGGTTTTTGAAGATCGTGAAAATGGCAATGAAAATGAAAATGAAAATGGCAGACCCAGGAAAAAAGCAACAAGAAACGCAAACGCCATGGACATGATAGATCAATCAAAGCACGATGTGGGCATTCTCACAAGAGAATCGCAAATCCGGCAAGGAAACCGCTGATGAGAATGAAAGTTCCATAGATATGACCCATTTCGAGGGCGTATCGAGTAGCAGCACCGGTGGCCTCGTCGGTCTGCACCGCAGTGGACGTGGCGGTACTTGTCGTAGCAGCGGCAGAGGTAGTGGTGGTGACATTGACGCGCTTGGGGTCTTGAGCACCGCAAGGGTGGTCGGAGCGGCAGGCGGCCGCACAGGCACTGGTGGTGCACTTGTTGACACATTCGGTATTTGTCTCGGTGCAGATAAAGTAGGGCATTGTCTGGGAGTACTCGGATGCATTGGGCGAGACATTGTTGCTGCAGACGCAAGAGTAGCTCAAGGTATCCTTTTAAAGATGATTAGCTATGTTGGCAATGAAGCGAGGGTAGTCAATGAAACTCACAGCATCGCAGGAATTTTCTGCTGGAGATCCGGTAGCTCCTGGAAGTTGTAGGCAAATGAGGGGACATGCAGCTTTCTGGGAACTGCACCAGTACTCTGTGTGTGCGGGTTAGCATGTGGTGTGGTGTGTTGGGGGATCTGCATTACGGGACTCACCTCGAGTGGCCTCGGCGACGGAGTTTATGTCGATAGACTGGGTGTTCACCGGAGTGAGGACCGAGGAGAGGACCAAAAGAACGGACGCGAATACCGTGGAAAACATTGTGTGGTGTGTGATGGGAGGAGGTGGTGGAAGGAGAGGGAGAGTGAAAAAGAGAGAGAAAAGGCAGTGTGACTGGTGGCTGGTGACTGTTCACGGTGACAGTGACAACCTTGGATCTAAATAGGAAATGCAGTGTCAGTCGGTGTAGGCTGCCGCTGCCGCTGCCGACTGCCAGGGTAAAAATAGAGTGGAGGGACGGAATGAAGGGGGAATGCAAGAGGGTGGCCACCGCCATGTCTTAGAACTTACTCTCGGGTGAATTCCTAGGCTTTGTTCGAGAACGTCCGGGAATGAGAGGCTAAAGCTAGTGCTGTTGGAAAAGGGAAAAGAGCACCACAGCGTGCAGAGGTGATGCAGAGGAGGGAATTGACACTGAAACTGTACAGATCGAGCGGACTCGGGAACGACAGACTGCAATTACAAACGAGGATTGAAAAAAAAGGATACGAGTAGAGGGAAAAAAAGGGAGAAAGGAGGTTTAGGAGATCACGCGCATATAGAAAAGCACTAGTGGCCGATAGGGTGATACTGCAGATCCACAGTGCAATGCAAAGAGGGCGTGGCAATGGTAATGGTAATGGAAATGGAAATAGCATTATGCAGTAAACAGGAAGTGACATTTAGTTGGTACAGACTACAGTAGAACACCAAAGCAACTCGACGTGAACAGCTCCAAGCTGGTGTGGAACCAGCCCGAATGACATGTCGATCCGGGGATATCCAGAGGAGCTCAACCCTTGATTCAACTTTTCAACTGCTGGTAGAGAGTCAATGGCAAGGTAGAATTCACCACGATGCTCATGCGGCAACTCTGATTGCCACGTCATATCGCACTCCTCTCTGCATCGATATCACCCGCCATTTTCGCACCGACTAGTCGGCACTGCAACGAGGCGAACGGCGACAAAAAAGAAAAAGAGGATGATAAGGGTCGATGTCTCAGTTTAGCGGCAGCGCCGATCAGCCACTTGCCCGCTTTGGGACTAGTTTGCTGCTTGGCTCGAACCCTCGCGAATCCCGGACAACAAAATGTCAGACCGCAGTGGGGGGAACACATGTACTGCCCGCCAAATGGAGTATAGAATGATTCAATCGAGCGGGGGAGGAGGGGGGGGAGGGGAATGGCAATGATAATGGCTATGATAATTGAAATGGTATGACTCGGTTAGCAAAAGGTAGGATGTGGCACTGGATCAGATGATAGGATCATTGCCACAGTGTTAGTGCTACTACTAACTAGTACTAGTACCTATAATTAGAGACTGCCAGTGCCCAGATATCATTCAATCCCGCGGTTGTGGTTGTGGTTGCGGAGGAGAGTATAAACTCCGACGTCGCAATACTATCAACCCCTCTTTCCTCGACTACTACTAGTAGTACACACATATTGACAATTCCTCATTCATGCATAGAGTGACCCATCAAAGCGTCCAGCTAGTATCTTCCTCCGAGCCAAAATTAAAAGTCAATCACAAAAGCCGAATGCAGTTCAAAGCATAGAGGCTGACAAGCGAGCCGACCTGAACATCCAAGCTCAAGCCCCAAGGTAAGGGGGAAAAAGAGAAGGGGATTAATGCAATGGCAGATGTAAAACGCAGGCCCATACGATTCCCGCTGTGGTATATTTAATTCTAAGAGCGATGGGAAGGGCTTGGGTTATCTTTACTTGTAACTTGAACCGGTGGGCGTTGACATTCCAGTACAAAAGCAGCGCTGGCGGGCCGCTGCGATCGTGCTAGAATCAGTTTCGTCTAGCATTCCAGGGACTTCCGGGTCTCGGCCGTGAAAAACTTGAACTTGAAGAGTTAATATGGTCTTCCAATATAGTAAAGGTCAAAGTGATTTGTTTTCCAGTGGCAGTGGTATACAATGGAACTTGAATATCATACCCAATCTGGGGCTACTTTTAACTAGCGGTTTCAACTTGAAAGTATATAGTAGTTTCAACCCTATTACCACTGGCAGATCCTGTACAAAGCCCCGAGATACGTTGAGACGAAGGAGAAGAAATATATTATTACTACTAGTAGTATTCCGGAAATTAATCTACTTGAAAATAAATAGATTAATTGCTGTACAAATTAATTACTGTACACTATGTTCGACCTGGCATCCCGCTTACATAACACCGCCAAATGCCCTTTTCGCGTTGGAGACGTGGAGATCGCCCTTTGTATTCCACTCTTCCAAATCACACCTGCTCTTTCGCATCTTCGCTTGGACTCAGACCGTTCCAAGGTGAGTGTGTCCTGATTACGCCCTGACTCCGCCCTTCGCCCTCCCACACCCCCTTTCCGTTACCCCCGTTGCCTTGCCAGAGTCAAAGCCCGAGCCTTGTTCGCCCCCGCATGGGCCCGCTAGACTGCAACTCAACCCCGAACCAATGCACCTCGGCTCGAGCCGAACCTGAAAGCTACTACCAAAAGCCAGCCATGCTAACACACCTACTTCACAGCGTCTTGTCTATATCTAGACGGCCTGCCAACATCTGATGGATGGATCCTGGTACTGAGGAGGCCGGTCCGGCACCCCCGGTGCAACCGCCGCGCTCCTCTCCTTCACCTTCACCTTCGCCTTCGCCTACGAACTCGAACTCAACGCCGGCCGATGAACACCCCGCAACAAAATCGCAAGACACACATATACAAACCTTAGCTGAGCTCCAAGCCGAGGTCGAGACAGAAGCAGAAGCAGAAGCAGAGGCAGGGGGAGAGGCAGAAGAAGGAGAAGAGCAACAAGAAAGCGCAGCCTCAAGCTCCAAATCCCGCCCCGTCTCAGGCGTCGTCCCGCCATGGTGGCAGCGTCATGAAAGAAACGTTTCGCGCGTCTCACAAAGCTCCCTCCGCAACACGATTACCCTAGAAGACCACACAGCGGATCCGGACTCGGAGACAAGCCGCGGTCTTTGGGCGCGGAACGTGGCTATAAATGACCATTGCGTTGTGCAGGGCAAGACTGGGGTTGGCGCGTACGTTGTTTGGAACTGTGTCGTTCAGACTCTTGATGTGAGTTGCAAGTAGCGAAGCACCGCACTCCCCTTGGATTTTCTTCCTCTTATTCACTCTTTGCTTTCCTTCCTTTGCTTTGGCTGTTCTATTACTGTACTGACCATTGCTCCTCATGTCCAGGGTGGACCGATAGTCGTTCGAATGAGATACTCCGAATTCGATGACCTGCGCCAGCGCCTCGTATCTTCATTTCCGCACGCGAAAAGCGCGCTGCCTGCGCTCCCGCCGAAAAGTGTTCTCTGTAAGCTACCAAACTCAGCTTAGCACCCCGCTGCCCAGATTGGTCCTTCTGGAAGAATCCCCGAATTGGTTTACTGATCGCTGTACAGTTAAATTCCGCCCCAAGTTCCTGGAGAATCGACGTGCTGGACTGGAATATTTTCTCAAGTATGCATGCATCATCCCCCACTCCTCCTTTTCCCACTGGCACGGCGAACCATACTGGGGAAGAAATCGATGCGATGCCGCTCGTCCCATCATCTTATGGTGATCGTCACTAACAAAAATCCAGTTGCGTTCTACTTAATCCTGAATTCTCAAGCTCGCCTATCGTCAAGGACTTCCTTTTTGGTCGAATGTCTTGAAACGACGCACGAATGCCGAGTCAAGCCAAGATCCTCACCCCATCCTGTAAAATATCATACCATGTTACGATTTCCTCACTACTGCTCTACATCCCTTCCACTCCAATGTCATTATAGGCACCTTCTTGGAATTATGCTCCCTTGAAAAAGGTGAGCATTGAACATTGAATCGAATTGAACCTTCCACACATATCCCTCCTGAAAGGACGTAGATCGAAACGATTTATGGCTGATTGCATAGGAATTCATCGAAGCAATTTCCCTACCAATCAGAACGAAGAATTAAGACCAGAGCCGAGCCAGAAAAACAAGGAGAGAACACGAAAGAAAAGTAGCTTGTTTTGACTCGGTATGCACGACAAAAAGGAAAATTAGATGAGATAATGAATGACAGTTGACCGGACCGGACCGGGACCGTTTCGCTTTCCTGGTCCTTGGATCCCAACGAAACAAAACAGACAAACGCCTAGCTATGATACAAGCGGTCTTTGAATATGGTACAACAACGGGAGAATAACAAACAGCAATTTCGAAGAGGTTCGGTGGCGGGTCCTTTAGGGTTTATCGAGCTGTTGGGCTGGGATGGTTGGGTTTGGGATTGGCTTCTTTTCTCCTTGAATGATCACACCAAATTCTAGTGATTTCCAGCCCCAGTCATAGCCCTAGTCCCATCCCCATCCCCAGCTTCCGCCCCAGCTTCAGGCGAAGCAGCCCCAATTTTATTAGTCGATTTAGATTTCCGCGTCGAAATGCGCTCACACAAATCCGCCCACAGAACCTTTCGCAAACTGATATTCGCCATATGAACCATAGCCAGCAAGTGTCTCAGACTCGGCACGCCTTTTGGAAAAACGAGAAACAATCCCGAGTCCTGCACGGGGTCAGGGCGGAATTTATCGTGATATGCCTTCTTGCCCGGATCGGAAGTCGTTGGAAGGTATGCCCATATAAGTCACGAGTGAGGGATGTAAGCAGTTGCGCCGGCATGCCGGAGATATCGTCAGGTTGCAGTTCATGAACGGGTTCGAAGCCTAGACCAAGATATGAGACGTTGGCGCGTCGGAGAAGGGCCATGGCTGCGACAATCAGCAGGTCGCTGATTCCCTTTGCACTTCCCGGGGCCGCGATGCACGGGTCAACGTGGTAGCCGCCGCATCCTAAACGGCGCAGGGCGGCGAATCCGTTTATACGGAAGTCTGGGCCGCGGCTGTAGACGAACGTCATTAGGGATGGTAGGGCGAATGGATCGTATACTGTGATGAAGGCCTGTGGGCCGGTGGAATCGTTGCGCTCTGCGCGCCATGAGTCGTACACGGCTACCAGGTCGCTTTCTAGATCTGCGTTTGTGCCGTGGATGGCTGGGGCGTAGACGCCGAGGGTGATGCCGCCTTTATCTGGGTGGAGGAGTTGTCTGTTTTGGACGGCGATGCGTTTCCCGCTTTGTTCGTGAAGGACTTCGTTTGATTGCGGGTTTAGGACGCGCTGGGTGCCGAATCGGATTGTTGTCCAGGAGTTTGGATGTGCTTGTTCGCGGACGAAGGACTCGCTGGCTCCCATGAAGGCGATGCCCCAGTGGTGCTTGGATCGATATGCGGTGAACTCGGCGAGTAGGTCTGGGATCATGGCTGGTTCACAGAGCGGGTCGCCGCTCACGATTGCAACCTTGTTTTGGATCTTGAAGGAAAGAGCTGCTGTTCGTTCTTTGTTTACGAAAAAGCGATAACTGTGATCTAGAATGCCCATGTGTGCGACGCGGCCATATTGTGCGGTTAAGCGCTGGATTGCTGTGATGGTGGAGAAGTCGCCGAGCGAGAAAACGCTTCCTTGAGGCTGGTTGGTATGAGTTGTATGAAGTGTGTGGACAGATTTGGTGCTGAGACATGACTGGCTTACTGCCGTTCGAAGTGATGGAAGGCTGCGTTCTTTGATATCTCGTTCGTCGAGACTGGTGGGAGGAGTGCTCTCCACGCCGGTCAGGGTTCGGCTACTGCTGCTCAAGGAGCTGGCACAGGAGGGTGTCGTCAATGTCGCAGAGAACTTGCTTTGTAGGTGATCGACGACTAAGCCATTTGCGACGCCGAGTTGATCGTCGAGTCGGGGAGTAGTATAGAGCTGATCGATGAGAGCATCGCCCAATTCATCCAGCAAGAGAGACTTCTTCTGTTTCGGACCGGTGGTGTCGGTGGTACTGTTACTTGTTTTCCGACCCCGCCTCCCTCGCTTTTTCTTTTCGGACGTGGGGACTCTGGTACTGTTGGTAGAATGTGTGTCGAGATCTGCCGCAGCGGTTACCAAGATGGGAGGCACGATGCCGGTGCTGGCGTCGACCGGCAATGGGTTATAAGGGGAGGTCATCGCGTGACGGTGTTTGCAGAAGAAGACTTGGAATATAAGGATTGCCAAACTTGCACAATCCTACCCTGTCATAGTATGGAAACTTGAAGGGTGGAGGAAGTGTAGAGAGAAATTGGGGTGAAGGGGGGGAGGATTAAAGAGAAGGCGTGTCTATGTCACGGTATGACGCTGGCTCCTTCCCGACTACAGAGAGTACCTAGTACCTACTATACCAGTAGTACTGGTTATACTGGTAGTACTACTAGTACTACTAGTACCACTGCCAGCGCGGTAGGATTCCTTTGATCAGGCAACGTAATATTGCATCACACATGTCATCTTTCCTTTTTCCGTTTTCCCTTTCCTTGACCCTGCGCCCCGCTGTTGAACCAGTGGATCTACATACCCGGCCCAAGGTCCACCACCAACCAATGAGGGACTCTTGCGCAACCCTCACCATAAGACCAACTCAGGCTTTGTGATCTGACTAGTCTGTATCACATGGAGCTGAAGACCGCACTGCCTGGGTCAATCTTTACCACCATTACAGTGAGTTGGTTTGGTGAGAGTATAATTTGAAAGGGGGATGATATCGAATATGAATATAATTATAATTCAATTAACTTGACAAAGAACTCCCTAGTTAGAACTGGCATAGGCAAGAAAAAGGAATAAAAGAAACCAGAAAGAGGAAAGGAAAAAAGAGCCAGGGAAAAGGAAACGCTGGTGCCTTGTTAATCGCAATCTCAAACCTGCAGGGCTTCATTAACCTTTCCAAACAAGCCTCTGCTCCGCCCCACTTAGCGCCAGGGTTCCCGACTTAGACCCTTGAATATGCTTGGGTCCCGTGGGATCGTCCGGTTGCCCCAACTCTACCACTGCTGCCTGACACTCGGGGCCTCGCAACCCGCGGAGCCCGATTTTGACTTGCTTTTCGCACATGTCCGACTGGTCCCCTCGTATAGAATTGACAATGGCGGTGCTGCTTATTCTGCCCATCCGTTCACTCCGTACTTTGTGGCGTTTCTAAGAATATCCACCACCGCTCGTATAGTTAGTGGCGCTGCTGATGTTGACATTTAAGGCATGCCATTTCAAGTTGAACCATGAAATGCAGTATGTATACAGCCCTGGAGAATCAAGCACATCATAGAGCGGATATATGCCAAGATATTCTAGATTAATCCTAGGCTTCCGCGATATTCATTCATGTGTTTTCTTCGGCTTCAACGGGTACCGGAATTCAAAGACTCCGAGATATGGGTCAATCGCTTCGGTAAGTAGGGCCAGAATGAACATGACTAGCAGAAAATATGAGTAAATATATGCTCTATGATGCCACGAGGTAGTACTGTCCTTGAGCAGTGTAACTTGATCCGCCGAACTCCCACCTACTACTAGTGTACTAGTACTAGTATTGTTCTTCATCTCACGCCAGACCAATCTTGCAAAACTACTCCAATGTAATTTCGACATGAAGGCTGATCTAGAGTCAACTAACGCCGGGCGGGCCGAAAAATAGCCGAGCTTCCGAAGGTCCGCTAGATCAGCTAATTGATTCACGCACCTTGCCTGAAGAAGGAAAAGCTGAATCGTGCAAGCCCCAAATCTTGGACCTAGCCGGATCCACCAATGGGCCCTATATGTACTAGTTTGGCATCTGCCTATCACGCGAGTGGATATACCCAACGGAGGATGTCCTTAGGCCGGACTAGATCAGTCGGTCGGAAACAGTTCCGAGATTTTAGAAAGAACTGGGGAAGAATTAACACATCTTGTGATTGACCCTCGGGCCGTGGACTCTAGAGAGAGGTACGGAGCTATCCTGGCGGTACAAGCAAAAGTATTTAAACACATACCTCCTTTGAATCGGCATTTAAAAAGGCTCTTCGATAGTCGCGCGGTTTCTTGCAGATTCATGAGTATGACATTGTGAGAGGATGGCCGCCAATGGCGTCTGGTGCACAAGTTGTACAATATTGACACGAACTGAGCTTATGCGAGGGTGATAAACACAAACTCTTTCTCAAAGATATTGCCCCTCACGGCTGGGAACAGTGGCGACCGGCGATTGGTTGATGTTATCTGAGTATCTGCCTCGTCGTGCGATCTAGTATGAATAACGAGTCGGGATACCTAGAGACAATTTCTCGTAGGGTAGAAGAGAATATGCAGTAGCTACTACTGTTGAGATTATTATGTAGCTCTCACTTTCCTTCTCTTGTCGCACTTCCCAGGATAATGCCGCTCATCTCTCATCATGATGTTACCCACGTATAGCTATAGCTCTAGGAAGGTGTTACTCAAACCAATAGCTGGCATGACCTCATGAACTTTCGAATATTGATGAACTTTCTTCACTAATATCTCTGAATTTGGAGGTAATTTATCTAAGTTGGTAATTGGCAGCAAATAATACTGAAAAAAAAGAGTATATTTACCTAACGTCAGTCATTAAAAGATCTATTAACACAATACACGAAATACCACCCAGGTCGAAAGCATGTTAAAATCACAAAAGGTGAAGGCATTCACACAGATCTCCCTTTTTTTTCCTTTTTCTTTTGCAAATCCTACCATCTCGCACGAAGCTTAAACAGCATCCGGGAAAACATGGGGGTTGGTAAGAGTTTGAGGAGCCGACGCGCGAGCCTTGGTACCGATAAGATGATCGAAAGCAGGGGAGTGGCTAACACGGGGAGACATATCCTCCAGATCCCACAGATATCCCAGAGTCTTAAGAACCGAGGTAGCACTGTAGGAAGAAGACTTGCCAGTGACAGGGTCAACACCGTAGTTCTCGACATAACCCTGAGGAGCATAAGGCGAGACCAGCCAAGTAGGCATACGGCCACCAAGACGGTCAAATTTGAGAGTGTAGGTGGAACCGTCGTCGGCGGTCTCGGTGTAGGTCTTGTTATCAGGACGAACGGCCAGAGGGGGAGCAACGTGGTCGAAGAAACCACCCGTCTCGTCGTAGGTCAGGAGGAGGAGAGTCTTTTCCCACTGGGGGCTGGCGCGGAGAGCGTCGTAGACTTGCTTGACGAGAACCTGGCCGAAGGAGACGTTGCCGGATGGGTGCATGGAGTTGGTGTTAAGGCCACAGCAGGACGGGTTGATGTAGGAGAGTTGAGGGAGGAGGCCGAGGTAGGCATCTTGGTAGAAGTTCTCCATGGGGACGACGTTGTCCTTGGCGTTGGTGGCTGTCCAGTTGAAGAATAGCGAGTCTGGAAGGAAGGCACCGTTTGTGCCGTCGTAGTTGCGCCACGAGATACCCTTCTCGGTGGCAACCTCGAAGATGCTGGTGGTATCAATTGCAGACTCGAGGAAGCTGTCGTCGTTCTCGCCGTGGCCGTCCGGGGTTCCGGAAATGGCACAGAGACGGTTGGGGTTGGTGGGCTAGGGAGTTATCAGTCTTAGCTTTCGTTTTTATTCTTGATTCAGAAAAATACTTACGCCAGGAACACAGGAGTGCCAGTAGTTGAAGGTAGTAAACTCATCAACCAAGTCCACGAGAGTAGGGATCTCGCTCTCGGTGTAGTAGCCCATGACCTCTTCAGTGGCACGCTTGGCGGAGATATCTGGGTATGAAACCATCTGCTTCTCAACAAAGCCATTCAGATTGGCCTTGAGTTTACCGCTGGCGATGTCCTTGTTGGAGGGGTTATAAGTGCCGTAAAGCTCAAAGTTGACACCAGTGACCGAGTGGTCGGGATCGTGGATAACCGAGTCGTAGTCCTTGTTGGTACTGCACCACTTCTTGCTGTTGGTCTGGTTGACAGACTGAGGGTTGCAGAAGGGACCATTGTTCACGACATTGTCAAGGCCTTCCTTGTGGACACCACCCAGAATGTTGTCGAATCCGCGGTTCTCCAGCAGGATCCAAACCACATTCTCGACCTTGTCCTTGAGGTTGGCAATGGATTCCTTAGAACCGGACTTGTATCCCCAAGGCTCTTGGTTGTTCTTGGTAACAGCCGCACTCAGGGCAGTGCCGGATAGACCCAGAAGGGGGATCAAAGTATTGGCCTTCATGTTTCAAGTATCCGCGACAGGAAATGAAAGTGTGATTTGACAAACGAGTGAGCGAAAATCATTTCCCTCACGGAGGATGACAGCTCATTTATATATTCCCCATCTCTATTCCCACGCGATTAAGATATGCGACGTCGGTCACCTTCCAAAAAAAGTAAGTCGTAGTTATCTGAAGACACGCAAATGGGGGGCATATAAATCGTCCACATGCAGGAGCAGAGCAACCTAATAGGCTTGAGTGCAATATACCCAGGTGTGGACCCGCGAAACCGGATCTCGGAGCGGAGCTTAGTGCATTCGCCTTACCATAGATATGCATCTATTTTAAAGCCATTCATTTCGTCAACAGTCTAGCGCAGATTCGTTGCGGGATGGTTAGCATTAAACCTGTACCTGGCGTAGGATGGAGCCACTAATACTTCAACGTACCAATTAGAAGTCGACATTACCATCTCATCTCCACTATGCAGGACTGGTCCGAGCGCTATTAACCAATCAACTTCTTTGTTATGCCCATGCTTCATTTGTATTTTCCCACGTGCGGAATGCTTGGTCGCGTTGCAGCATCCGGATTCCTGCGGGTGGCTTCTAGTTCCTCACGCGAGCGTCCAACTTCGACTTGTACGGATAAAGACTCTCACTTCCACAAAATTAATTATACTACCGCCCAGGTTTCGCCATACGACGAGGCAAGAACGCTTGAAATAAGGAGAAAAAAGATTCGTACGGAGGGGTTTTATTTTCGCGTCGATCTACAGTGGGAGGCCAAATAAAATGTAAGAAGGTGACCACGTAAGCATAAATGTACTACCAAGCACTTCTAAGTATCTTTGCAATTACTAGTAGGCGATGAGCAGTAGTGAAAATGCCGCAGGAATAATATTTCTTATCAGTCTATAACGGAACAAGCTAATTCATGACTTCAGGATATTTTGCACAGTCTCCACCACATTATCCAGGACCTCATCTCTTGACATACTTGAATCCAGCGTAACCACATCGTCCTCATCAACAGGAAGTTCAAGAAGATCAAGCTGCGAGGCCACCATGGATGACTTCATATAATGCTGTTCAGTCGCCGACCGCTTATTCATGCGCTCTGTTAACAGCGCCTTGTCTTTTATAGTAAGCAACAAGAATGATACAGTAACCGGGAAATCAAAGAGTTGATTAAGTCTCCGCAGCTCATCACGGTACACAGTGCGCAAGGCAGAACAGGTCACAGTCACTGCCTTGCTATCGGAGCTCAGTAGACGGTCCATAACAGCTCCACGAATATGAGCAAGCCAGTCCCACCGATCAGAGTCGGCCAGAGGGATATTTCTGGCCATTTTATGGCGTGCCAGAGGGGAATGAAGCGAGTCGCCTTCAATTGTAGGAATATTAAGTCGCGATGAGAGAGTTTCGGCGGCGGTAGTCTTTCCACATCCACAAGGACCGATGAGGAAAATAACCTCACGGGCGGGTGCTGGAGTTGGGACCTTTGTCCAGCATTGTGTATCGAAGTATTTGATGAATTGAGATGTGAACTCATTGTCTAATCCGCCGACGGAGGCCAGGGATCGTGAAGCAGCTTGGGCCTTCTTTGTGTCGTATAGGAGTGTGCGGGTAGGGTTGGTGTTGTCATATTTCGAGGCGAAGAACTCGAGAAGCTTGACGGGTGGGTTAACCTCTGGATCCTGGTTTGATTCACGCAATTTCTGGAGCCATGCTTGCTTGGGGAGCTCTTCGAATTCAAGACCCGCTTCACGTAGTAGGGGAAGAAGGTCCTTGGACCAATGGTTGAGTGTTGGGTTTGTGACGTTGAGAACTTCTCCTGCGGTGGATGACAGGCTAAGATCAATGATACTGGCTGCCATGACGTCAACTGGAGTCCAGGAAAGGACATCATCCAGTTGAGGAAGCGCCTTGATAGTCTTTGCAGTCTGCAAGATCATGGGAATAGCTTCGGTTGCGTTCCAGATTCCGAAGGTTTTGTCTGCCACAATTTGGCCAGCACGAAGAACTCGCGCGGTCATGCCCGTTTGGCGAGCGGCACGGTTGACAATGTTTTCGGTCACTAGCTTGGACTGGGCATATCCCATACCCTGAGCGTGGCTCAGTGACTCGGGCAATTCTTCATGCACCCAATTTCCTGGTGTACGTGCGACTGTGCTAACCGAAGAGCAGAAGGAAAAGGAAGCTGGCCGAGGAGCCTCGGCACTGAGACAAAGATCAAGCAGATTACGAGTGGCAGCAATGCAGCTCTGTTCAAAGCTTTCCAGTGCCCAGTTGAAGTTGACAGACCAAGCGCAGTGGATCACCGAAGTGACTGTCCTCTTAATCCTGTTAAATAATTCGTCGTCCAGACCCATATTATCTGAGTTAGTGAGGTCTGCAGGAAGAGCCACAATCTTTCGCTCGGCAGCTGGGGTCAACCCCAAGGAGACCTTGCGTGCATATAGGCTTTGAGCAACACGTCGACGGGCAGCGCTGGTTGTTTTTGCACGGACAAGGCAGTAAACTTTGCGTACATCATCAGACTGCACCAATTGAGCCACGATATGAGCTCCCAAGGAGCCGGTGGCACCCGTCAACACGATATGCTGACCATCAGCCTCTCGTTCAACGGGAACATGTCTCTTGAAGTCATTGCTATACTTCTCTATCAGGCTCTGCATTCTTTCTTCAATAGGAATCTGCTCCTTGGGTTCTTCGCCCGAGCGCAGGCGAGTGATCTCATCAGCCATTGCCTTCAATGACGGATTTTCGAAAACAAAGTTTTGAGACAATCGCTGTCCACGAAGATCCAGGGTCTTTGTGATGGCAGACCGCAAGCGGATAGACTGTAGACTATCAATTCCCAGGCTGAACAGATCGGTTGTGAGTTCAAGAGAAGATGAATCGACAGACAGGGCGATTGCGAGCAAGGACTGGCGGAGAAACTGTGTGAGCTCTTCACCCTCCAGAACCTGGTCACCGGTACCATCGGAAAAGTCGTATATATCGCTGATTTTCTGAGCATAATCCTTGTAAAAGGCAGATCGAATAACAGTGCCTTTGTCTGTCCTCCGGTATTCACTGTTCTTGGGCAGCACAAAGACCATGTCCCGGGATACATAGGCGTAGGCGGGGGACTCGGCGTTGCATTTCTCGATATCCGGGAAAACCGCATCGAGCAATTCATCATCGGTCTCAAATGGGGACTTTTCGGAGGGAATAATGAAGAGACCGATTCGGGGCTTGGTACTTCCGAACGCAATCGCTTCTGCGACATTGTGATTCTTGCGTGCGACACCTTCAATAACTAGGGGATTGGCCTTCTCACCATTCTCAAGAACTAGCGTGTCGTCAAGACGAGCATAGTATCGCCAGGCATTTGGAATGCTAGGGTGTTTCTCGAATAGATCCTTTGTGGCATATGAGTTATCTGGTCGGTTACTGGCAACCTTGGAGGGCCAGCCCTCGGTGACGCAGAGTTCGTAGATACCAGGCATACCAGGTTGCGCCTCCCATCGAAGATATGGAAGTAGAGAGGGGCCAGGACGAACATAGTCCCAGTCTAAGTCCGAGCGCTCACGGAAGGAAGTCATTAACTGTCCTGTCTCGGTTGTTCCGTAGTGAGAAACAAGACGCACACCATTCTGAACCAGAGTGTCACCAATTGGCTTAGGGCAAGACGATCCGCCGAACATGACAAGTTCTAGACGGGCCAAGCGCTTCAAACCATCGTCGGATTCGGACAGCAATTTCAAGGCGTAGGGGACCCCATAAAGAATCTCAATCTCAGGATGGTCATTGAGAGTTGAGAGCAGGGCGGTCGCAGTGAGTGGCAGACTGGCGTTGTACATGTAAATCAATTTCTGGGAGTGCATCGCTCGGAAAAGACAGCTGATTCCGTGGGCGTGGAAAAGAGGTAGAGTGATGAATCCCTTCAGGCCGAAGTTATTGGCATAATTCTTCAGAGCTCCCGAGTGGGTTTGATAGATTGGCTTGGGGTGGCCAGTTGAACCGCTGGAGTGAATGACCCAGGTGATGTTCTTGTTTTCTGTCGGACCATGGCGATGAGACGCCGGTAGCACTGCGGAAGAGATATCCGGAGAGTTCAAATCCGCAGGCAATACGACTGGAACCTGAGTGGCACTCGTGCGCTTGCAGATATTCTCTCCCATTGATTGGAAGCTTGGGTAGGTAATAAGGAATGTGGCCTTTGTAGCTTCGGCCAAGCTGACGTATGCATCTTCCGCGATGCGGGTTGAAAGAAGGAGTACTGTGTGGCCTAGTCGTGAGACCGCCTGTAGAGTGATGAGGTATTCAAAGTCAGAGGGGCCAAGTAGCCCAACAACTTGCACTGGGTCATTGGAGGAAAGTCTTTGCGGAATTGTCTTTGAATAGTAAACAGCCGCTGATTCGACGAGTATATTCACCTTTTCTTTCGTTAATAATCTTTGTTATAGTGGATGGATGGCATATATCTCGAACCTGGTGTGGGGTATAATAGACATAATCTGTTCCTGAAGAGGGATAAGCCACGATTGGCTCATGGGCTGTCTCCCCTGCAGCTCGTGCGCGGACAAGATCATCGATTGTAAAGATCTCTTGCTTGACGCTGCCAGTCATAATAGATGGTGACGTTGAAGAACGTGTGTTTGTTATGGGTAGCGCGGATGTTACTGGCGAAGCAAGAGCTGAAGCTGCCATTTTTGAGGTCAAGGCTGGGCAGTGGTATGAACAAGACTGATCTTGTGAAGTATTGGGAGTCAAGTGCCTTTTTAGATCAGTCTTGGAACGATGGAGTGGTGTCTGCTAATCCGGTTTTCCGAGTCGGCATATGAAATAGTAGTGAATGTATCCAGAAGGAAAACGATTTGCTATCATCATCTAGGGTCTCCCTGCTGGAACCTGGGGCGAGTTCACGGCTACTCCGACCCGTGTGTTAACCAAGGCCTTTTCCGCCGCTTGGTAGAGAATGTTGCATGACTTCATGGCTCACTTGACCTTTCCCCGCAAATGCAGAGGGGCCCATTGCGGGTAAAAACCCAGTGACAGCCGTTTTGGGTTGCTGAGAAGATCCGGGATGGATTTTGGTTTTCCGACGCGGCGGAGGATGTTGTTGCGGGAATACAACCCACCCGTCGGATTCTTCCCAGCCCTTCCATTTTCCGTCACTCTTCGGATTGAAGGAATATCAGCCAAGTCCACTCTATCGTAGAGGGGTAGTAACTATTGGCGGGGCAGTCACTCATGGAGGGGTAAAAAAAGCACCAAAGTAAAGAGGACATAGAAATAAACGTCCTGGAAAGTGATTTTCATGTTTCTTCCGAGTTTCTAGGAAAGACTTGAGGTTCTAATGTGTGCACTTTTTTTTTTTACATATGTAACCTTCTTGGAACATCTGGTAGAGCTCTCGTAAAAGAAATCTTGACCATTCTATATCTATCTAGTACTTTATTTTTTACACAGTAAATTTCTCCTTGTTGGCAGGACCAGCCGCCACCGCAATCTTGCGAACCGCCTCTTCGCCAGCCTCCTCAAAGATATCAACACCCCAGATGGCTGGGAAGTTGAACCGCTTGTGGCGCTCAAGGCCATTCAACTTGCCATACGCATTATCAGGCAAAGTGCGGACTTGAAGATTGGCTGCAATGCGAGAAGGTGTAACACTCTTGGAGAGGACAATAGTGCCACGCTGGACACCCCAACTGGCGAGCAAAGGACCGGGGTCCATGGAGGTCTCCTTAGCGACCTCTGCGACGAGAGGATCGTCGACAGTTCGAGGCTCACCAGTTTGGTTGTTTCCGAGAGGAGAGTAAGCCTCCACGATAATTCCCTTGCTTTGGCAGAACTTCAGCAAATCGGCCTGCTGGAGGTATGGGTGTGCTTCGATTTGGTTGGCTGCAGGAACAACTGACACTTGGCCGAGCAGTTCCTCTAGTCGACGGATGTTAAAGTTGGAGACACCAATGGCCTTGACCTTTCCAGTCGCCAACAGCTTCTCCATTGCCTTATAGGTAGCAACATAGTCATTGGCTTCCAGCTCAAACACGCCGTCCTCGTTCAAGGGAAACCACTTGTCACCTCCCTTGAAAGCACTATGAGAATGTTAGACGGCATTCAATTATATGAGTTGACTCAATATCTAACTTACACGGGCCAATGCATGAGGTAAAGGTCAACGTAGTCGACACCAAGGTCCTTCAATGTCTTGTCAAGTGCTGACTCGACATCCTTAGCAGCATGCTTGGTGTTCCAGAGCTTGCCCGTGATGAAGATTTCCTTGCGGGGAATGCCTGACTTCTTGATGCCTGCGCCAACCTCTGTTTCGTTGCGGTAGATAGCAGCGCAGTCAATGTGGCGGTATCCTTCCTTCAAGGCAACCTCAACAGCGTTTTCAACCTCGAGCGGCTTTGCTTGCCATGTACCGAAGCCCACGGCGGGGATTTTGGCACCGGTGTTGAGGGTGAAGTGAGTTTGAATCGCCATTGTCAATGTGAGAAAAGGAAATAATTATTTGGGAGTTAAAATCCAAAGCGAATGTTTGGGCCAGAATCTGCTCATATTTATCACCATATCTGTTGCAAGTACCGGTTGTAGTGAATTCACTCGTGGATTCATCCTACGTCGGAAAAGCAGGGTGGGTCTTTGATTATCCGCGGATTTTCATCCGGGGCGAAGAGGCTAAGGTCCGCAGAATACCCCGCAATCGATACTATTGTACATTGTCATCTCGATTACCCTACATCATTTGGTAGGCCGATAATCCAAGTTTCTCTTTGCTTTAATTTATGATCGTTTATCGGGAGATTCAGAAGATCGCCTCGACGACGCACTTTCCACACAATGGCCTTATTTCCCCCATTCGACGATCTTCCATTGCGTAAGGATGGCCCTCCTGGTAATGCATGGGGTCTGTTTGGGGATGATGATGAATGTGGCATGTTGAATCGAATCACACCAGAGGTTGTCAATGCCGCATCAAAGGAGATTAAGGATGGCGTCCGCATCCCGACTGATTTACCGATTGACTTTATGTCTAAGCCTTTTTTTGGAAGAGCACCATTTCAACACACGATCAAAAATAAAGCACCACGATCAGTTAACGATGATACCCTTGTGTTCAATACTCAAATAAGTACACAATGGGACGGATTCAGGCATTTCGGTTACCAAGAATCCAAAAAGTGGTTTAACAACCACACTTTAGATGATATCTTGCAGACGAAAGTGAATGGTATTCATGGTGAGAGTCACAAACCAAGAAAATATATTTTCTAGTCTAATGATCTTGAGATTTTAGCTTGGGTTGAGCAAGGGGGCATTGTGGGACGCGGAGTCTTGTTAGACTATGCGGCTTGGACGGAGGCCAATAATATTGCTGTCAACCATTTCTCGCCGCGTTCAATCTCGGTTGCCGCACTTCAGAAAATTGCAGATACCCAAGGCACAGAGCTCCGGAAAGGGGATATTCTCTTCGTCCGCACCGGATGGGTTCGGGCTTTTTCTAATCTGTCGACTGAGAAAGCCATCGCGTTGGCGGATATGACAACTCCCCCAGCGATTGGATTAGAGTCATCCAGAGCGACAGCCCGCTGGTTATGGGAAACTGGATTTGCGGCTGTCGCCGGTGATCAACCTAGCTTTGAAGCATGGCCTTGCCAAAATCCAGAGTACATGTTGCACGAGTGGCTATTGGCTGGCTGGGGTATGCCAATTGGGGAGATTTTTGATCTAGAAAGGTTGAGCGAAGAGTGCAGGAAGCGTGGACGATGGTCCTTCTTTTTCAGCAGTATGCCGCTGCGAGTAAGTAGCTTTGACCCCAGCCTCTATTCAATTTTGAGCACTATCAACTAATAGATAATAGGTCCCTGGTGGTGTTGCTAGTCCACCGAATGGTGTAGCAATCCTTTAAAATCAACTAATTTGATTATATTGCGAAAAATTAATCAATCAATATGATATCAATCTCAAATAACTGGATTTTATCCATGTGTTTTGGTACTAGTAGGAGTATCGAAAAAAGGGGTCCTCTTGGTCCGTCTGATCAGCCGAGTTCGCGTCCATGCTCTGGAATGAGGCATCTTGAAGGCTGATACCATCTCGCTCAAGAGCGCTTTCCTTCTTGTTGTTCAACATGGCTGCATAAAATGCAAATGTTAAAAGGAGAAAGATATCAACGCAGTATGCTACCAACATAGCAATGATTCCTGAAGTGTACTCTGGAGCCTCGGATTCTTTGAAAGAGAATGGCCCGATGATATTGCCCACGCAGTAGGAGATAAAAAAGACGCCGTTTACAGCAGACCTATTGGTAGAGCCACCAGTATTCGCTGTAATGAGAGACATTATCATTGCGAAAGAAGCGGTATATGTGCTGGTCAACTAGTTTAGACAAGGTTAGTGATGCCCGAGTCTCTTGAAAGTATGAGAGATAGACATACCCAGTAACAGACTAATAGCGCCACTTTGTGATCTCTTGAGATGGCATGAATTCCCACCGCTCCTGCCAAGGCTGGACACACATATGCAACGGCCACCAGGCATCTCATTTGGCCAGGGAGCCATCTTTGAATATACATCGCAGAAACATTCGAGACCAAGATAACCATACCGTAAGGAATCTGGAAAAGGGTGGTCACCAGGTTTGAATATCCGAATCCCGAGATTATCAGACTCCCAAAGTTGCTGGCAGCTCCATTGACAACTTGGGTGGCCACTCCACAAAGAAAAAATAACCAGGTTTTGGGATCAGTGGCGGCTTCGATAAGCTGGTATTTCTTGATCTCGCGATGGTTGGCTCCGTGGTGTCTAGGTCCTAGACGGCGAGCTGCCACAACTTTTTCCTCTTCATTCAACCAAGGACTATCATAAATTCAGTCAGTCAACACAGCATGGATTCAAGAGTTCGTGATGACTCACGCAGTTTCAGGGCGGTCAGCCAGGGTAAAGAACATAAATATAGCCCATATCGATGACAGTGCTCCGATGACAATAAACTGGTATTGCCAAGGCTCTAAAGTGCCTTTTATATGACCAACGCCAAAGGCCAAGAGTCCACCAAAAGAGTTCGCTACGCCAAGAAATGTAGACCACCAACCTATTCGGATGGGCTGCTCCTCGACAGTATACCATGTCGCAGTGATCAAAAGATAAGCTGGGGTCGAACAAGACTCAAGTGCACCCAGCAGGAAACGTAAGCCTAAGAATGAGTCGAATCCTTTACAACCAGCAAGCGCCATAGTGATACCACCCCAAATGAATAGATTAACAGAAAGCCATCTCGAGACTGGAACTTTCTGCATTGCAAATGTGGTAGGATACTCGAACTTTGTCTTCAATCAGTGGAAATTTCTTTTATGTAGTGATCAATAGACATACCGCCAGATATCCGAAATAGAACATGCTTCCTATTAAGCACATATGTCAGTTCATTATATAGTAGCTTCATAGATACAGGGATTTAGGGGGACTACCTAGCCAGCTGTATTCTGATCCATGTAGATTCAGAGAATCTTTCAAGCCAAAAACAGCCGAGTATCCCAGCATGGCCTTGTCAATATAGGTCACTAGATATGTGATACATATGAACGGTATGACCATGATATCGATTTTCCGAAGAACTTTCTTTGCTAGCGGAGAACTTGCAATAAACGCCGAGGAGTCTATGGGATTGGGTTTTTGGGCATCATCTTGAGCATAATTATGTCCACCCTCCAGTGACTCGAGATGATCGCTGGTAGTCTTTGGCATGCTGGGCCTTGGTCAGATTATAGTAAAGACACCGAATACTAGATGGAAGAGGTGCTCCAGGGTGGGGAATCTTCTAGATATACGGGGTAGCCCTGGAGTGAGCTTTGACTTTGTTCCTCCGAAAATGGGGTGGCCTTCCGAGTCCTTGGAATCGTTCATCGAGCAACCGGGCGGATTTAAGGGACCAAATCCTGAATTATCATATGAGTACAGGCAGTACTGGAGAACGCTACAAATAGTATACTAGAAGTAATAGTACGTCTCCTCGCTAGGTACTTTGTATCCCAATGCCATGTCCCTCTAGCCGGACTTCAGGGATTTCCCGAAATATCAAAAGTGACTTAAATCTGCTCAAAAATATTGTTGTTACCAAAAAGGAGAAGGTTCTCACTAGTAAATACCAAATCTGGGGGTTGATTTACCCTCGGCAATTGTAGCTGGGCGGGTCTCGTGACTGGCGGATAAGCCTGTCGGAATTATCTTTCATCGAACTTTTCTTCCTCGTTACCAGCTGACTTTTGCTTTCACAGATCAGAAAGTGTTGACAGGAAATTCGAAAATTTTCAAGAACAATCCGAGAAACATAATAAACTGCAATTTCGACATTTTGAAGTCGGAAACTGCGGGGAATTTCCGATGGCTGATGCAGGGCAGGCGACATCACCGCTCCCACGTCGGGGATCGTCGAGGTCGCGGAAAAGAATCAAGGTGACTCGCGCATGCGATGCTTGCAAAGCACGCAAGAAGGCCTGTACGGGCGATATTCCATGCCGATTTTGTGCACGATCGGATCTCTCATGCTCCTACAATGTTCCCTATCATCGGGGTTCCGCCGCCACCCCACTGCCCTCGTCGCAGGGCGGAAATGTGCGACCCATACCTGCCGCGTCAATCCCCGCACTCATGGAGTCTACCCCAGTTCCAGAGTCGGTTCTTGGGGGCCAATACAGAGGTCCGGCGTCGGCCCACTCATTCTTGGACCGGGCCGTGAGGAACTTCCATGGAGCTCAGCGGACTTTGGATTCAACGTCGGAGGATTCACATGCTTCGATATTCTCGCACGGCGATCGGCATGCTCCCCAGATTCCCGAGTCTCAACTGCAATGGCCTAGCCAAGCCGCTGTCAATTGGCTGGTCCAACGGTACTTTGACTTTGCATCGCCGACTTATCGTATTCTACATCAGGGGACAGTAGAAGAATGGATAAATCTAGTTTTTGGACAAGAGGTGCCAACACCACCAAGCCACACCACCAGACTCTCCCTTGCGGGGAAAGCGATAATATTGATGATGTGCGCCATTTCATGTTCCTTCTCTGCGCTACAGGATATGCCGCTGGAATATACACTGGGAAATATACCACGCGGGCAGCAAAGTGAGACGTACTACCAAATGGCCGATCGGCTTCTTTCCCAGGAACAAGGCTCGCCATCATTGGAGTCAGTCCAGGCTCGGTTCCTCACTGTACTATACCTCCTTGGCACATCAAGAATGAATCAAGCCTGGTTTAACTTCGGACCTACCGTGCAACTGCTGATGGCACTTGGTCTCCACCGAAGAAACACATATACGAGAACACTCAATTCTTCCTCGCCTGGTGAGGTTGCTCTCGAGTGCTCGAAACGAGTATTATGGTGCTCTTTTACCCTTGATGAATATCTCAGTCTCATTCTTGGACGACCACGCCTTCTTCGCGAGGAGGACATTGATCAAGATTATCCTGCGCTAGTCAACGATGAGCAGCTAGATCCTCATAAAAGCCGATCGCATTTGCAAAGAAATTGCCTAATGGATGCACCGGTTTGTCACGCGAAATTGTCAAAGATACTTTCGAAGGCTTCACAAGATCTATACACAATTCAACCTCTCGAGAAGGAGCAAGAGATCATTCTAATTGAAAATCTCGTGCGAAAAGTCAAGCAGTGGCAATCTGATCTTCCGCCCCTTCTCGGCGATTGGGTGTGTCCCAGCAGTTTGATATCTATCTTTCAGAGACAGTTGACGGTAATAAGACTGGCCCGGTTCCACGCTCTAATGTTTGTCACACGTCCATTACTACTTCGAGATTACTCCCAAGAGAAAGAGGCCTCAGAGGATTCCGCCCAAGTATACCTACGATCTTGCATCAGCAATGCTCGGGATACACTCGAACTAGTACTAGAATTAGTCAAAGATCGTCTACTCTACCCAGCGTTTTGGTATACCCAGTATATCGCTTTCAACGCTCTATCAATTGTCTACATCTTCCTGATACACACGAAAAGGGGCCGAATTCCCCACGCCTGGCTTTCCGCGAATGCCGATCTAGAGTCGCAAGAAATCGATCAAAATTCACTATATAAGCTTGCCGAAGAGACTCAGTATCATTTGGGCCAAGCAACTGAGAGAAATTCTCTTGCATGGAGATATAACATCGTGCTCGAAGCTTTGAGATCGGAGACTACGGGGCACGCGTCCGAGACGACCAACGATGCAGAGCAATCAATAGGAAGGACCCAGCCAGACCACGACTCTCATTTGGCAGTGCAGCCTATGGATATGAGAGATAATGTTCCCTTCGAATTGGCCTCCGAGCATCCTATTGTAGACTGGGACAGTTTACAAGGGGCTGGAGCATATGATTCGGGAATTGGAAGCTTGTTCACATTTACGGGCTCCACAGATGAGCTTTGTCTTGACTTCTGGCCCCAATTAGATCGCCTACCAACGTGTGGGTTCAAATATTTTTATTCTTGACAGAAAACTTTCAAAGCTAACTCTTTTGAAGCACTAAACTAGCTCGAACTTATAGCGTGCCCTCCCTCGCTTGTTCTCTGTAACATAATACGATTCTAGGGCATCACCTATCCAATCTGGAAAAATCATAGCCCAAAGGGATACTTATTCATGATCTCTGCTGATATTCCCTTAGTGCTAGAACTACCTCAAAGCAAGCAACTAGGATACAGAACCGAATTGATGACTTGATAACCTGAGCAAATCTGAAATAGTAAATCCCAGAGTGTGGCTTAGATCGTGTAGCGGAAACCTGCAGCAACCTGCGCAGGGGTTGGACCATTCCGCCCCGTATCTTGGCCCCGATCCAGTTTGTTGTTCTGGAGGCGTAGATAAATTCGAGTTCCGGTGGCTAAGATGACGGTTAAAACAGAGGCAGCAAGATTAACCAAGAAAGCGGTTAGGTAGCGTGGCTCGGAATAATAGAGGTATGAGCCCCAGACTGCCAATCTGATATTAGCAAGGGACTCGGTGACAAGTAATCATTTTACTCATACCGTTCGGGGTATTGCAGACAGAGTTGATTATAGCAATGGCGGACGCTCGCTTGATTGAAGGCTGCGATATGGTTCCAGCTACCCAAGACAGAACAACAACACCTGCCGAGTAGAAGGACCCTGGCAGCAGCATCATGGCAACGTCTATATTAAAGTTAGTTTACTCGACTCTTCGATAGAAAGAATATTTGATCAAACGTGTGACTGACAGCGAGCGGCCGTGTTTAGCGTAGAGACGGCAATTATGTTTGCTGCGAGACAAACGATCATTGGGCAAACTATATGCAAGTAACGCTCTTGTTTCTAATTCCTTATTAGATAAATTCAGTTGCAGATCGTCTGATACGTACCTTGTCCGAGTGAAATCCGTTGATGATCATCGCGATGACGCAGAGAACGTAAGGTGGCTGTATACCCTCATAGTTAGCACCTGTATCTGGGCTTATCATCATGACCAACCACACTCACCGCAGTAAGACCATATGTCTTGTTGCGAGAATATCCGAGGGTTGCTACTACCGAGGGGAAGAAGTTGGTTACAGCCCCCACGATGTAAATCTGGACGAGTCAGCTTGGAAGCCGTAAATGGGATAACCAGGAAGAGACATCACGAACAGAGTAAAGTGTACCCATCAGAAGCCAGGTCTTTGGGTCTGTCACAGCCATCATAACACCCTTGTAGGCGCTGACTTCATCGGCATTATCTTGCTGGCCTTGATCTTCCTCAAAGCTCCACAAAAGATATTCGTTCTCGATCTCACTAAACCCAGTGAGGGATTTCAGCGAGTTGGGCAGAATAAATGCGAGTATTATGGCCAAACCAATGGTGGCAGCACCCTCGACTAGGAAGAGCTATCAACATTGAATTAGCATTGATATTCCAGCTTTCCAGTCCACGGGAACTCTTACCCATCGCCAACCCTCCAGACCATGATGGCCATCCAACTTCAAAATTGCAACAGCAAACAGTCCACCAAAGGCATTGCCAAGCTGAGAACCCGAGTACAGAATGGCCGTCCGAAGTGTGTACTGCTTCTTGGTGTAGAACAACGACATGTAAAAAAGGGCGCCAGGGAAAAACACGGCCTCGACAAATCCCAGAAAGAAACGGGAGGCCATTAGACCAGAGGCATTGTGAACTGCAGCTGTGCAGGCTGAAAGAGCGCCCCAAAGGCCCATTGAAAAGCAAATGTATACGCCTGGTGCCTTGATTTTGCCGACTATGATATTAGATGGGACCTGCATCAAAACTATCGCAAAGCATTAGCAGCCACTTATGAGCTTTCAAGTGAGTCGATGACAAACTGTATCCCACAAACAAAATGCTGACACATGTCTGATATTGCACGTCCGTCATTTTCAAATCCTTTTCAATGTCGGCAAGCTTGGCTGCGGCGATGTTTTGCCGGTCGAGGTAATTCATGATGTACATCAGCACCATGCACGGCATGATTCGCGCATCCAGCTTCAGGGTTGCTCGACGCTTGACCTTCTCTAGCTCGCTCTCTGAAAGTGCGGCCAAGGAGGGTGGCATCATGAGTGGTAAGATAGTGCCAGGGACCTTGCCCTGTGTATCGGCTGCATACTCGACCTCTTCCGCATCTTTGTGGTCTTTGTTGGCCATGGTGAAATAAGCCCACTTGTGTATTAATGAAAAGGAGAAAAGTCCGGAATTTATGTTTCGAGATTTCTGACAAGGATCTAAATTATACGAAACTCTCCTAAATCCACACACACAGGGCAGCATGTCCAATATGCTAGATACCCCCGCGGGCAAAAGCGGGGAAGTCAGAATTTGGAGATACTAGATCTGATCCTTCAAAAGTAGGCTTTCTTCGTTTGAGAAGGCTGGTCCTCCATTCACCAATACACTTGACTGCTGGCCAGCATCTGCTGGAAGAATGCGGGGTTTGCGAGGCTGGGGGCCGTCGCCAAGTGTGGGGGTCCTTATTAACTCCTGGGGTACCCCCACGGTGGTCCCATGAGCTCCGGGATATTCCCGAAGGGATGTTAATTCAGGAGGGGGGGTCGATTGACTGGAATGAAATCTTGAACGGGGAATATCTGGCGAAGGAAGCAAGTTTCAAGCCTACTTGGTACTGGCATGGCTGAAACTTATAAAGCGATAGGCACTGGATGATAATAGTATTCATTATCTCATATGAAAGCTTTCAAGTGCATTAAATTTTGGAATGAAAGTTCATGAGGAAGCTAGGTCTTGGAGCTGCTCCAATACGTCCCCACGCTATGGAATCTGGCCGGTATTAACCTCAAACTAGCCCGGCCGAAGACGTGGGGGTACAAACCAGGTCAGCTCAACACATCCGAGTCGTGCATTAGTGATAAACTGCCTTTTAAATAGGTCATCCCCTGGCCATAATATGGATACTATCCAAAAGTTGTTTCATATTCATTTTGTAGTAAGATGATGTCTTCCCATGTGGGTAGTTCGTTTCAAGTTTGTCTAAACCATATCTAACTTTCTTAAGAGGCAAGGCCCATTTACCAGAGATACTTATATCTGATTTGACCGTCCTCGTCCTCGTCCTGTAGGGTCTTCTTGTTAATATCTCGCAGCCATAGACCCAGTACAGCGGCCAAGATGATGCCGCCAGCAGCAAACGAGGACAAAATAATTCCGCCCATGCGATACTGGGGGGCGTCGGAAGCAGGGAAAAAGTAGGATCCGTAAATGTTTGACGAATTGCCGAACAAGTTGACCAAAGCATAGACAATAGCACGCTTTGTTCTGGTTCGGGGAATGGTACTGGCGATCCAGGCTTGCACAACGTTGAATGCCGAGTATGATCCTGCACACATCAGAAACATGCCCACATAGCGCGGTGCTGTCGAAGTTGTGCTAACAACCAAGACGTTGCCGATAATGTCGACGAGCAGAGGCCACATGATTAAAATGGCACGCTGGTCGGTGTACTGAGCGATGAAGGAGTTTCCAAGGGAGGTAAAGAATCCGAAAACATAGACGGGGACGGTGATGAGAAGGGTGATCGTGGTACTGAAGCCGAGGGTCTTGACAATGGACTGATTTTTAGATAGTGATTAGATAGTGCTCCGTGGTTCCACGAAAATGTATTAATTGCACTCACTGGGAAGAAGTATGTCCATGTCTGGGATGTGAGCTGGCAGACTTGGATTGCCACTAAAATCCAGGCCTTCGGGTCGGTGAAGGCATCAACAAGGGCTTGCTTAATTGATCCATTCTCATCAACTTCATCGTTCGCAGCTTGGGCTAATCGCCACTGGGCAAAGCGCTGTTCTTGTTCCGAGAGCCACTTGCGTTGACCAGACTCAGGAAAATCAGGAAGCAGCAGAACGGCGAAAATTCCAGCAACCATGGTACCAGCACCCTCGATAATAAAGAGCCATCTGTGTAGTTCCCAATCAGCATACCTCAAATTCAGGTAGAATAAAGGTGCTTTACTGACCTCCACCCTGCTAATCCACCGGCTCCGTCCATTCCATCCAAAATACCTGCAGCAATAAGACCTCCAAATCCGTTGGCGATTGTGTTACCACAGTAAAGTACTGCCACGCGAGGGGCAATCTCCTGGGGCTTATACCAGGAGCTGACCAACAGACTGGAGATTCCATCAGCGCTTAGATATAGGCAGATGGGAGCCACGCTTGTCTTACAGGGCACCTGGGAAAAAGGGTGACTCGGCAAATCCCAATAGAACCCGAACCACCATGATATGAGCAAAATTCTTCGTCCCCGCAGCAGCCATCGAGATTCCACCCCATATGAAGATAGCAGCGGGAATATACCGAGACGGTTTCACGCGAGTGAGGATAATATTGCTAGGAATCTGGCCAAGAAGGTATCCCACAAACTATGCAAGAAGGTGTCAATTGCCAAGCTCAAACACCAAGAGAGGCCAAGCTCACCATAATAGCCACGGCGGTTTGGTATTGGGTGTCGCTGAGGCCAAGATCATCTTCCATGCCGCCAAGCCGCGCATTGGCGATGTTTGAGCGATCAAGAATATTGAATATAAAAAGCAGACATAGTGATGAAATGAGGTGCAGGTCAACTTTCCACACAACTATATCATGTCATCAGTAGCCGTAGGCATTAGTTAGTTGCTATGAGTTCAAGTTGGTGACTGGTCGGCTACTACTCACGTCGCTTTTCAAGTTTCCGACACTCCTCTGGAGTCAGACCTTCAAATGTAGACTCTTGGAGAGTAGCCTTTGGAGAAATCTCCAAGTGACTGGTCTCGTTCTCATTGGTTTTTTCCATCTCCATGTTTGCTTGCAGATGTGTGGGGATTTTCCAAATAAACAAAAAGCACACGAGGTGAGGGACCGAATTGGACTCACAATATCGCTGCCAAGTTATATCCAAGCCACTACCTCTCAATGTCCCTAGACCCCTCTCTTTCGTCTCGAGCTAATGCCCAAGCCTCCGACTCGGAGTAGCGAGACCCCGGTTGTGGACTCGAACCACGTCACCCCAGATTCCGGTCGGATATCCCCATGGGTGCGGAAAAAGTCAGCGGATTCTGACCAAATGGCGCAAAAGGTCCCACAGATCAACATTTGCCCCTCAAAGTAAAGATCACAGAGACCTTCCGTAATTTAAGTCTTATTAATGCTAAAATGTTTATTGAAATTCCAGATTACTGTGGAAGAAATTCAAGTAATTAGGAACATTGTTCGTTCCAAGCGATTATTCATTCATTCGTGGGTGCAGGTTTTAAAGTGTATACTTGAACAGAGGCGATTTATCTCCCATATCCAGCAGTTGTTCATCGGTATATTTCGAGCGAATGTCGACTTCGCTCATCGCAGCATTCTTCTTGTTGGCCCACATAAAGGAGAGCTCGAGGATCACGGCTGCTACAAGGGCCGACCCACCAAACGCCAATGACAATCCAAAGCCGGTGGGGTAGGTTGGGTCTTCTTTATCAATGTACATGTAGCTGCCAATGATTCCTCCAATATTTCCGACACATATATTGAAAGCGCTACCAATGGCGCGGCGATTGGAAGGGGCGAGGTTGTTCATGGTCCATGAGGTCGTGGCCGGGTGGGTAGGGTAGATACCCATGGTGGTCAGAATAATGGCAAAGAATCCTGGGCCAATATTGGCTTTCAGGTTTCCATTTAGTCCCATGATAATCGAGTATCCAACCACGATAATGAGCAGTGGGATTACCACAAATGGCGCACGCCAGTAGAATCGGTCGGACAGCATGGAGAAAAAGATGGCGGAAATGGCGCCCGCCACGTAGGGGGGGACAGTCATCAGCTGCGCGGCTGTGTCTTGGAAGCCCATACCCTTTGTAATAGTGGGGAGGGTGAATTTGGTTCCTTTTTGTGGAGATTAGCCATGGTCATTGTCTTCGACGGGGAAGAAACAAACCGTAAGAACAAGCTGACTGAGCAAGCAAAATGTACGCCAACGGGTACATTCTCCAGTTACCCAAAACGGCCTTAATATCCTTCCATGATGTCGACTTACGCTCCTCTTGGAATTGTCCACCGTCTTTGATGAAGTGCTGCAGCTCCAAGAAGCGAATCTCATCCTGGTTCAGCCACTTTCCGGACAACTTTGGCGAGTCGATAAGGAAGAAGAAACAAAGGACACCCAGGACAACAGTGACGATTCCTTCCAGGATAAAAATCCAACGCCAGCCTTCTAGTCCACCGACTCCGCTCATCTTGGCAATACCGGCTGCCAGTAAGCCGGAGAATGCGCCGGAAAGGGCACTAGCACAGTAGAAGACAGCCAGGCGAGTTGCTAGGTGCTTTGGCATATACCAGAAGGAGCACAGATACACTGCACCGGGGAAGAAGCCAGCTCTATCATCAGAAGTCAGCGCTAGGGATCGATTATCATACAATTGGATTACAAACTTACTCAAAAACACCTAGCAGAATGCGCACCACAAGCAAACCAGCAAAATTCTGAACCATTCCAGTCAGAGTCATTATGATTCCCCAACAGATAATAAGAATTCCAAGGTAAACTGAAGGCCGTTTGAAGTTCTTCAGAAACATATTACTTGGGACCTCTGTTAATCGATTAGCGAAGGATCCAAGAATCAGGTCACGTTGACTTTTACCTAACAAGACATATGGAATGAAGAAGAGACTAAGGGCAATGTTATACTGGATTCCAGTCAACCCCAGGTCTTTTGTCAGCCCTGCAATTTTCGCATTGCCGATATTCGCTCTGTCGAGATGTGAAATCAAGTAGAGTACAGCTAACATGGGCACCAAGCGAATGTCAACCTGGTAGGTGTTAATAAATCAGTTGTACTGAAGGGGGAGGATGGGTGTTACCTTGTGCAAGACGGTTTTTCTTTGTTCGGGTGTGAAGTTATGGTAGAAGTCGGCATCATCAGGTGACAATCCAAGCACTTGAATCCCATCGATTACTGTCACATTGCTGTAGTCCTCAACGTGGTCTGGGGAGAGCTGTTTCTCGTCCGCCACATACTCAAAAGAGGCACGTTCCGATTGTGAAGGAGGCATGATTGAAAGATCTGACCCGGTACACGAATATTATGCTGGGTGTCGAAACTTGAAGTCATTCCAGCACTGAAAACTCCAACGGGACAAGAAGAGAGCTTTATAGCGCTCATCAGAAATCTCAAGTCTCGGCGTGCGGAGGACGATAGAGCTTGAGCACCTAGCCAAGCCTCCAGGAAGGGCCATTTGAGGCATTGTCCGGGGTTTCTCCTCTCTCACCAAACCCCCCTAGCCCTCTTGGCGACGGTGATGTTTGGGTGAGTTGTCCAGAGCCAAGAAATCCCCCCCCCATGTCCACGAGGGATTCGCCCCGCAATTTGGTTGGAGGGGAGATCCGGGGTGCAGTCCACTTCTCCATTCAAGCTCGAGCACATTACGCGATGTTCGGCTGCCATCCTGGCTTGCATTCAGCCCCAAACGAGGCCTCGGATTGCTCCACAACTCTTTCCGCTACTTCTCCGTCCTTTCTCCGGCCTTTATCCGCCGGTTATTCGTTCTCCGGCATTTACTTCTCCGCCAGTCGCACTTTTAGTTCCACTCCTGCTCTCCATCCATTGCTGATCTATCATGTTACTATATTGGTTTTCAGGGTACTGGACTCATGAGAGCATAGAATTGACAGTAAATTGAATTTGAGTTTGAAATTCAAGCTTTCATAATACTCGTACTATCCCATAAACAACACCTGTCCCAGAGCAACGACATATCGGATTTGCCAGTGAAATTAAAGTTGAGTCACCGGACTTCCCCAGTAAATTTCCGCCATCATTTCTCTTTACCGCACACATCGTCTGTCGGGATAAACAAAAAGTCATACCACCACCATACTCGTACCACCATCATCCCACCAACTCAAAATGTCCCCCATACAAATCCGCCCGGCCCAAGATTCCGATCTGCCCCAGATTCGCGCCATCAACGCCCACTACATTCTCCACACGGCACTCACATTCGCGGAGACTCCGCCTCCACACGAGACATACCATGCCAAGTTTACCGAACTGGCCGCACGTAATCTCCCGTATCTCGTTGCCGTGGGCGAGCATTCGGCCAATGATTACCCCCTCTCAGAAGCCCGAGCCGATATTCAACAAGCTGTACTGGGATATTCTTATCTCTCGCCTTTCCGTGGCCATCTGACTGCATATGCACCGACCGTGGAGTTGAGTTTATTTTTGCATCCAGCCAACTATTCCCAAGGAATTGGATCAAGACTGCTCGCAGAGATGATGGCGCTCTTGCGGGAAAGAAAGATCCGCCATGTCGCTATCACTGATGAAGGGGTTTCTGGGTTCGGGGGCCTTGGCCATGATTCCTCTACATCGCATACCCTGCCTCCGACGATCACGGTGGAAAATATAATTGCTGTTATGGCGGTGGATCCAGAAGGCAAGGATCAAGGTGAGGCACTGCGCAGATGGTACATCAAACGTGGATTTGAGGAGCGTGGCCGACTCTCCAGGGTTGGATTTAAACGGGGCCACTGGTACGTATTTCCCTACTCTCATCAAAATTATGCCACATCTTTATGTGGCCATAGATACCAGGCCACACCAGAGTACCAGTGACTAACGAATTACTAGGGTTGACACGGTTTATTTGCAGTGTTTTGCGCCAGACGCATTGAACGTCTAATCCGCTTATATGTCGAATATGGATATGAATCACAATAATGCCAATGTACACGTTAACTTCCTTCCACGATCACGGCCCTGAATCCGTGCTTGACGCCTCGACAATCATGGCAGCATTGTGTTCCTCCTCGCGGGCGCGCTGCACTGTTTGGGAGTATTTCTTGCCCGCAATCAACCACCAACACAGTTCCAGGATAAGGAACCCGCCAACGACAACGCAGGTGTAGTTCATATTTGAGACTGTCGCCGGCATCTCGAAGGGGAAAGAGAAGAAGACGATCGCAAAGACAAGCCACAACACGGAAATGATGTTTACACTCATGCCGACGGTTTGGCTCATGTGGAATGGGCCTGCATGCATCGTTTTGCGGCGCAGGAGGACATTTGTTACGATCGGGACCAGATAGGCGAGGTTGTTGACGGTTCTGAAGCTGTTAGTGGTAGATTCTTTTCCTTTTGGATCTGGATATACTTACACTGCGGAACTCATCATCGAGTTAAATGCCGTCGTGGATCCCAGGTAAATGCAGCCCAGGAGAGCGATAATGACACCCACACAGAGCTGGGCATTCAGCGGGGAGCCCAGCCGGGGATGGACGCGCGCCCAACTACATAATAATAGTGGTTAGCTTAATGTACAAGGCACTTTTAAAAACAGATATGCTTACACTCTCGATAAAGGGAGACCCTCGTCCCGAGCAAAGGCCCAGAAAACGCGGCCAGTGCCTAACGAATTAGTATGCTTTCAATCATTTTGAGGCCTCCTATCAACTCACTCAGTTGAGATCCAATCACGCAGGGGCCGAGAGCGACCCAGATCATGAAAATGAGACCAAAGGCACCACCCTTGGTTGATGTTGCTTGCCAGAAGATTTCAGCCAAGGGGAGGCCGGTTGGCGTATCAGCCAGGGAGTTGTAGTTTTGGACGGAGAACATCAGGCTGAGCAAGTACGAGACACCAGTCACGAATGCGATTGAGAGTGTAATTGCTGAGGAGTATTAGCTTCCTAGGTACTAGTATCCTTGGAATTTAGATTGTAACTCACCGAGTCCGAGAGGAGCGTTTCTTCCAGGCTTGAGAGGAGTCAGTCAAAAGTTATTTCGTCGGATAGTCAATGGCCTTGACATACATTGGGCATTTCCTCCGTGATATGCTACTACTTGTTAGAGATAATTCTTTTCTGGGAACCATGAAGTCCTGGCAACATACCGATATTCCGTCCAGTCCCCCCAAGGAGTACAAGGGATTGACCAGTCCAGTAATGAAGCACATGACATTATTTTCCCAGCCGGTGTTATTAATCCAGGTTCTAAATACGAACTTGCTATCATTATGGTTCGGGGCCGCGGCCGCTACCGTGACCATCGTGATGAACCATGCGAGCTGTAGATAAACCACTTGGGGAAATCAGCCACCAACACACAAAGACACACATGCCCGTCCCTCTGTGCAACTCACAAGAAAATTTGTTGATCATCGGAATGAATTTGTTTCCGAACATGACAATTCCAGACGTAAATATATTCAGAATCTGGTACGCAACAAAGGTCATCCAGGGTTTAATGACCAAATCCTCGTGGTACAGCGCAATCAATGCCATAACAGTCGTAGCATAGATCAAATTCGTTGATGCGGTCGTAAAGATCCCTAGGAAGTAATTTAATCAGCATTCACACGCGCAATTCTTTTTGGAGAATTCGGACAATATACTCACAGCCAAACACCGTGCACCATCCCGTTGCAAAACTCAACACACTATTATAGCGCTTTGGGGCGATGGCCGCGATCCAGTGGTACATTCCTCCCTCGGTCGGGTATGCCGAGACGAATTCGGCGAGCGAGGCCCCGACAAACGACTGCAGAATAAAAACGAGGATAAATCCGTAGATAACTAGGATCCTGTCAGTTTCACCTGTACGTGAAGCATGGGGGCCAGAATAAAGAAAAAAGGAAAAAGAAAAAAGGACCTACGTGCACCAGGCCCCCCGGCGTTGATCGCTGTGATCAATCCCAATCCAAGACCTAATTTCATCAGTCGCCGTGACTAGCAGATAAAATAGTCGAGTTTCGATAATATTGTACCTGTCCAAGAAATTGTGCAGTTTGCAGCCAAGCCGATCAAGCTCCAAACCGAGAAATGGCGCTTCAATTCCTGTTTATGGCCTGTTGATTTGTTAGAACGGAATCGACTCGATCATAACGTGGCAGTATAGGAGACAAAGGAGTTAGGAGTTCCGAAAAAACCCACCCATCTGAGCCAGACGCAATTCGTCTTCATTTTGCACCTTGATCACCGCAGTGCGACCATTGGAGGTCTTGGCCTCTGGCACAGCGGCATTAATCTCTGGGACGCCCATGGTGCAACTTGAAGGACGAGATTTCAGGAGGAAGTGAAATGGTCAAGTCGAGGGCGGGCACAAGGACATTAGGAGGATTCGAAACCGACGCGTGCCCCGGTCGCAGGACTTTTAAAGTCGCCCTAAGTTTTAGAGCATGCCATACCATATATGGTATCTCTCCTTTATCGTGCTGCAGCTCTTATCGGCTAGCAGGAGCAACATTGTAACCTTATGGGGGGAGTTTGCCGACTTCCCCGGTGTTTTCCCCGGTGAGGGGAGAGCGGGGGAGGACGAATGAGCGATCGCGAGCCCTGGAGGACTCACTCTAAAGGTGGGGACTTGGGCCATTTAATCAGTCCTCACCACCGGCGATCAGGGGTCTTCCCCGGCGGGCCAACTTTGTGAGGGTGAGGAATGTGGAGGTGGTTGCGGGTGATCAGAGGCTTTCTTGGAGCTTAAGCACTGGCAGCGCTACGGTCACATTCTAGAAACTTGAAGGTTTTGCTCGCTTGATGTTGATTTGATCGTCGCAACTTATCATCGATGCTACCATTCAAGATTGTAATCAGGGCGCGAGAACGAGAACGAACTTGAACTTGAACCGTGACTTGAAGGACTTCCAATTTGACTCGCGCCTGGGCAGTCTGGTGGCGATATATATTAACCCCGGCCCACAGTCATGCAGAACGCGTCTCTAAGTGCAGGGGTGGAAACATCGCCCAGCGAGCAGAGGTCCCGTATTAGTATCAGGAGTTCTTTAGACTTACTACTAGTAGTAGAATTTACCTTCAAAGGTAGCTGGTAGTATGCCATAATTCAAAGTTGGATAATGACTCGGAGTCTGGAGAAAGTCTCAGAAAGCTTGAAGCCATCATGATAGTAGGCACGAACTAGTTAGTTACAGCACGTTGCGAAAAGTAGCTGCTAACTACAGTACTAGTTACTATCTAGTAATAGTAGCCTTGGACCTCGGGAAGACCCGTAGACATGGCGGACAAATTGTCATCACTTTTGTTATTTTGGTAGTAT